GTCGCTCACACAGCTAACCAGTGACTCCGTGCTGGCCTTTAATCAAAGCTGTAAGGGAAAAAAAAAAAGCCAACTCCCGGTCTTCCGGCACAGGCTTTCCAGCCTCACAGAGCCCCGCAGGCTACAAGAGTGGCAAGCAAAAGAAAAAGTAGCTGCACACAAAAGCAAACTGGGGAAGCGGGGAGAAGTGGGCAGCCTGGCAGAGGCCTGTAGCGCACCAGCCGCCTCAGACCTGCTGCACAGCACGTTTATTTACGGACAAGTACAGACCGTTTCCTAAAATTTGGTTGTTCGAGGATGGGAACGGAAGTGATCTGAACTCTGAACATTGTACTGATCTTGAAATTCACAGTGTTCTTTCGATGTGACACTTTTGCGTGTGCTGGGCTTGGCACTTTAGAGCTCATACTATCACCGTCTTGTTTGGCATTCTGCTACTGAAAGGTCCGCGGGTAACATCCTTGACTCCTCCCACGAACACCCTCTCCTGTCCCAGCCACCCAAGACCATGAACCACCTCTAGTCTCCATTTCCAGCACTCCACCCTGACCTCCCATCTATCCAGCTCACCTCATTAAAGCTTCCCTTCACGAGACAGAGCAGCGTCTTCACCTCCGCCGTCTCCTCCCAGTCCTGCGTCTCCTCAAACTGATCGGATCCACCTGCTGGTTTGTAAATCACTTGGGCGCCAGGTGGAGAGAGTTTAACTTAATCCTAGCCACTCAGGGGCTGAAGCCTGGAAGATCATTAAAACAAGTCGGGGCAGGAGTCTACAGGACTCCATATCCAGACAGCAAAAGGCTACACTGGAGGCATGGCTCAAGTGGTAGAGTGCCAGCTGAGGGCAAAAGCAAGTGGGTGAGAGCCTGAGGCACCAAGATCAAGCCTCGGGACTATCCCCCAGGGAAAGAAAAAGAACCACCCTACCAATGTCTTCAGTTCCCAAGAACCGCTTCACTAACTGCAATTGCAGACACCTGCAATGAAGCAGCTTGATGGGGGCCGGGAAAGTCCACGCCAGAGCTCGCTTCATTCCCCTGAAGCTCATGACCACCCCAAGGATACAGCCCAGACTAAACCCCAATGTTTTCCCCTTCCAGCTGTTCCCACCCACATGACTTCTTTCTCCTCAAATCCCCACATCCACTATTCTAAAGTTCAGTTCATCAGTGACCTTAATTTCTTTGTATTGAGTAGCAGACTGTGGGGTAAAACTGCATTACACTATGTAAGAATATGAACACTTCCCAATTTTTTTTTTTTTTTTGTCGGTCGTGGGGCTTGAACTCTGGGCCTGGGCGCTGTCCCTCAGCTCTTCAGCTCAAGGCGAGCGCTCTACCACTTGAGCCACAGCGCCACTTCCGGTTTTCTGGTGGTTTATTGGAGATAGGAGTCTCACGGTCTTTCCTGCCCGGGCTGGCTTTGAACCGCGATCCTCAGATCTCAGCCTCCTGAGTAGCTAGGATTACAGGTGTGAGCCACCAGCACCCGGCTTTCCCAATTGTTTTATAGTCAAAACCACCTCAAACGTGCTGCTCTAATGTGCTCAACAGTTGAGTGAGCCAATCTGTTCTCCCCCAAATATGACACACGGACCCGATACACTTTAAGATAAACCTTCAGACACTTTCACCTAAAGAACAGTGCTTACACTGCTTATCAGTTTGAAAACAAAAACAGATGCCACTACCACAGTTTTAACACTCCCAACTCCAGGAAGGCAGCTGTTCTGTGGGAACACACGACCACATGACCACACAGTGACTCTTGTGTGACCCGATGAGCTCACACTTGGAATTGGTTGGCAAATGGAGCACAATCCAATAAAATATCCTGATGTGGTAACAGAACCTCTCATGGTCTCAGCCCTAATTACTTAGTTGTCTAATAAAGATCAGCTTTGGATGAGAGTGCATTATAAAATATAAAATCTGTGACAAAAGGTTTACAAGTAATTATTACACTCGCAGAGCCTTTTCACAATTTTTTCCCCAGTCCTAGGGCTTGAACTCAGGGCCTGGGCGCTGTCCCTGAGCCTCTTTTGCTCAAGGCTAGTGCTCTACCACTGGAGCCACAGCACCACTTCTGGCTTTTTCTGAGTAGTTTATTGGAGATAAGACTTTCCTGCCTGGGCTGGAAATTTCCATCCTCAGAGCTTAAGACTCCTGAGCAGCTAGGGTTACAGGCGTGAGTCACAAGCACCAGACTTCCTTCACAATTTGTCTATGGCCATACAAGAGCATGCATCTGTTACACAGGTAGATAAGTGTTTTAGATGACAAGGGGAAAAAAAAAAAAGACTTGACAATGTGCTATTTATACACTAGCATCTTTAAGATTTAAAAAAATCAACATCAATTATAACTTATATTCTATTGTAGTTATGCAGATATTCAGCTAAGCTCAGATGATCAAGAAACAGAACAGCAGAATAAAATATGCATTTAATGGGCACTTATGAACAGAAAATTAAATTTGAATACGGCCCATTAAATTCCTTATTAAAGAAATTCTGTCACTGAAGACTCACACATCATTGGCATTGCCAATATAATATTGCAACAATTTGATTATAGGGAAGTATAGTTTGTTTTAAAATTTATTATGAAATGTTGAATTCAAGATGCCCAAATGGGATATATATGTATTTGTAATAGTACTAGAAAAACAGCACAAGAAATTTGACCACAACTAAATGGTAAGTTCAATAGATTATACACCTTGCTAGCCTTTATGAAGAACTAGACTCCAGATAACTCAACTCATTAACCAAAAAGGAGGCTGCAAATGGATTTAACTTCAGGGTTTTTCAAATGAAAACTTTTAGTCTCCAAACCAAAATGATACGCTTGACCAATCAATTCACCTAAAGACAACATTCCAACCCGCAGCTCCTGCTTGCCTGGCTATGAGCACTTATTTGGAGATGAACAGAGGATTACAAAGACCCCCCCAAGATTTTTAATACTATGTAGTACAAATGTTTTATGTAAAACTAAGCCTGAAATTCATCAACATGAAAGAACATTTTACCAGGTCACAGAGTGGCCCAAACTAAGCTCACTATTTAAGAATCACTTTTGAGCCAGGTGCTGGTGGCTCACCCCTGTAATCCTAGCTACTCAGGAGGCTGAGATCTGCGGATCAAAATTCAAAGCCAGCCCTGGCAGGAAAACCCGTGAGACTCTTATCTGCAATGAACCACTAGAGAAACTTAAGTGGCTTGTGGCTCAAGTAGTAGAGCAATAGCCTTGAGCTGAAGAGCTGAGGGACAGCACCCAGGCCCAGAGTTCAAGGCCCACAAGCAGCAACAACAATCACTTTGCTGGAGTAGAACCGGTAGGTTAGCAATCAATCCGGAGGCTGCTCCAGCAAATCACTGACCCACACTGCCCGAGAGCCCCAGCTTGGCGGGGGGGGGGGGGGGGGGGGGGGGGGGGGGGGGCTATTACCTTCTTTGTAAATTTGAAGTTGATAAGAATGGAATTCAATGACCAACAAGATACTTGGAGAAACAGCTTTTGCTTATATTGGACATGTCATCCCACTTTTTTGAATTTGGGGAATACTAGTTTGATTTCATTAACTGTAGTCATATAAAAATGCTTATGACAGTTCAGCAAATGGCCTATTTATAGCTTCCAAGATACTCTGCTAACACACTGCACACCAACCAAAACACAAGTAATCTTAGTGTTGACACAAGGGATGAATATGGAAACGAGCCTTGCATCGATATGCTACTAAACATGGCCATGGATGTGCCAGAATACTTGGGGTTTGGCATTTGAAAATTTCCAATCCAATCTTCGTCTTCTCTGGTGCCAGTCCTGGGGCTTGAATGCAGGGCCTCTGTGTTGCACCTGAGCTTTTTGGCTCCACTCCAGTGCTCCACCACTTGAGCCACAGCTCCACTTCTAGCTTTTGGGGTGAGGGTCTCACGGACTTTCCTATCCAGGCTGGCTTCAAACCACAATCCTCAGATCTCCACCTCCTGAGTAGCTACAATTTCAGGCATGAGCCACCAGTGCCCCAGCCCTCCTTTTTATTTCTATTTAACCATGTGAGTCTCAAATTTAACTGAAGCGTGAAAATTCAGTCTTAGTAATATTATAATCAATGTTAAAATAGCAGCTACCAACTTGTTTGGATAAAAACAAGTGTCCACAGTTCACATTTTAGAAATTATTTTTCCTCAGCATTCCATCTGTTTTAAGCTTTATTCTGCCTCCCCTCACCCCCTCCCCGACCCAGTCTGTCATATGTGTATGGGTAGGCTTAATAAACTGTCTGGAAAAAGTTGAACTACTCTTATTTTGTTGCAATTCTGCATTTAAACAAACCATTTTAAAACACCAAGCTTAGGGCTCGTGGTGTAGCTCGGTGGACGAACGCTACCTTGACAGGAGAAAGCCCTGGGTTTGACTCTGGCAGGTCAGCAAACGATCAAAACAACCTGTAAAGTCTGAAGCCACTTCCTAAGCTGCTCTGACCAGCTTTTGGAATGTCTGTATTTGTAATGCTGTAGTGTATCGGTAAGGATTTTATATGTTAGTGAATCAAACCCCTTCCCACCCACCTTCAAAAAAACAACACTGGCATCACTTTAACTTTGTTAGGAGTCACAAAAAAAAATTTTATTTAGGAAAAATATTCCCTTCAATGTTTATCAGATAGTGAATCTTATTTAATAATTTACTTTTATGCATAGGCCAATTAAAAGGTATGCCTCTTTCCTTTCATAAGCAAACTACTTCACTCTGCATGGCAGATAAGAAATTAATACCTCCTTCTACTTTGAAAAGTGGGGTTCTCCTCATTATGAAGTGGTTATTTTTGCATGGACGGCCGTTGTGCTGCTCCTAAAAAGTCAAGAAAACATGGGCACGTGGGAAAGAAACCAGAAGCCAGAATACTAATTGTGAGCCATAATACACATTGTTTAGACATTAAACAGAAAAAAATACTCCTAGACTAAATAAATTAAGATTGGAATTTGCCATTTGAGAATCTAGGCCACTATCTCCAGTACTGGGGATGGTCTAGTGTTTAGTGTTTAAACATTAAGCAGCAAAATACTCCTAGATTAAATAAATTAAGAGGGGAATTAGTCACCCGGGGATCTAGGCTGTACGCCCACCCCGGGGGGCAGGCTAGCACAAAGAAGGCTCACACCACAGGCACAGACAGTAGAGGGGACGAAACACAACATTTAATACTGCTGCTGTTTCCTGTCCCCGTCAACCCAATGATTGTCGCTCCTTCCTGCACACTGAAGTGACACACAGATGAGCAGGTCTCACCCCAACCCCGTCGGGATGCAGACACAGATACTTTCCCAAACTCCCCCACCAGGAGACTCTGCGGTGCAGTCGGGGCTGAGCCCCGATGAGACTCGTGCTTTCTCCTCGCAGTTCCGGGGCTCGGTGAAAGCCGGCGGCAGGGTGCCTCCGTTAATGGCAGCCCCTGGGTGAGTCAGGTTTATCATTTGATTTCCATCAGCTGACCAACGTGTGCCTCCTTGTTCCCTGGAAATCTGCCTTCTCAAACTCCAACACCAAGTACAGTCCGGCTGCTCGTGACACTCCAGTTAGACTGGAAGCACACCATTCTTCCATACATATATTTACTGAACACCTACTATGTGCAAGGCACTGTGTTAGGTGCTGCTATAGGACGGTCATGAGAAAATGATTAGCTTAGAGTCTGGGTTGTGTTTTTGTTTAAATAATTGATATGAAATTAATTACACGGACCTAATTCCTTAATTTTCTTCCAAACTGAAGAAGAAACCCAATTACATATGACGGGTCTGATTTAAAAACACATGGCATAGCATAGTTGTACTTTACCTCACGTTCCATACAGTATTTCCAGAAGTTTTTGAATATACATAAGGCAAATTTAAAATAGAAAAATAAACCTTGTTCAAAGTAGATGTTAGTTTTAACCATACTCTGTATCAAGTGAATTTCATATACAAGTATAAATACCAAAAGTCTTTATGGAAAGGTAGTTCGCGTCCACTTGCAGTAGTCCTAACAGGGGTAACCGTACGTTAAAGTACTACAGAGTCTGTCCCTAAAAATGTCCACATGGAGAAAGTTTACACAATACATAATTTGAGAACAGATTTATATGCTGAGAAATTCTAATGTGAACAAAGTGAGTTTCTTTTATTCAAGGAGCAAGTGCAAAGAAGGGGAAAATGTAAGCACACTGTTCAAATCTTACAAATACACTAAAGCCTGTCATTTAAAATGTTGACTGCTTTTCTTCTGAAGAGCCCTGTGAATTCCATCTGAATTCATACTGGTTCCAGGTTTTATTGGTATGGATCTGTGTGGCTGCTTTAAAAATAAAAAATGATTGCTTCTAAGCTTTATGATAGCGTTAAATTGCAAAAAGAACACAAGGTAATGTCAGCTGAGTAGATAAGAAAGAGCTAGCTGTTTAAAAGAAAAAGAAAAAGAAAAAAAGCTAGCCTAAGACAGTATCTCTAGAGAGGAAAAAACCTAAGAGCGAACGGACAGCAGTAGTTCTAAGGGCAAAAACAAGGAAACAAGGCAGGAAGTTCCCAGCCGTTCTACAGCAGTGGAAGCCAAAGTCGGGACTCAAGGAACTGGGCCACTCCTGTACCTTGGACACAACACTGCCTGAAGTAGAAATAGTAAAATATTCACTAAGTTAAAATACGTTTTATATTTTATAGCATATTGAATACACACATAAAAATACCAGTGTTTTTGTTTTTTTTTATCTTGTTTCTGTTCAGACACTTGAGCAAATATGTTCTTTGGTGGCTGGGAGTTTATCAGTATATACGGATAATGAAAGCTAAGACCAAAACTGACCTGCCTAGAAATAGAAGACTTGAAATCCTATACCATATAAAGTAACGATCAAAAGTGGACTTATGAGAAACAACAGAAAGTTAAAGATACACTGCAATAGGACTGATACTCATTCTTCCCCAAATCATACTCTAGCTCCCCCAATAAAAACCCCTACAAGCCTATTACGTTTTAAATCTGTTTTGAGATTTTCCAAGTGGAAAGATATCCCAGATACAAATATATCATTCTAAGTTTTAAAATCATCAAAGTCAGTGAGAAGAATGTACATTCATTCAATATATTCATTTATAAAAGAAAAAAAAGTCTGAACAGTTCAACCAAAGACGAAGAATTGTTCTTGATTTTTCATTATTCCTTTTTAAATAAAGTATAGATGTACAGGCTGACATTTTGATTCATTCAAAATAGTCACATCCCTTTTTATGTGTCTTTTAAGTTTCCAAAGTCTAACATTTAATACCACTCTTACTTAACACAGTATTTTCCGTGGAAGGGATCATAGAGCAATGAAAAATCAGAAGCAGGATGGCTTAGGAAGCCTTATAACCTCTAAATATACACACATTTATAACCTGTATTTCTAAAGAAACAAACTTTAAGTAATGCTAATTTAACCAATAGAGAAAAAACTTCTATCAAAATATACAATTTTCATTACAGACTAGAAGGCTAATATTAAAAAAATAGCTGTAAGCCAAAAAGTTTGCTGATACGGATGACGGCCACCGCCGCTCTGCAGCACAAAGCGTCAGCGCGAGTCCTGGCACTTCCAAGTTCATCGCCGAATTCATAAAGCTGAACCCAGTCTCTAGGTCAAGGTATTCCATTGCTTCTTAACTCAGCTTTTCAGAAGAGGAGGGAGGAACCAAGTAACTCAGAATCTCAAGTGGGATTTATGCTTCACCATGTACCTAAAACAGAATAAAAGAAGTGAGGGTGGCGACAGCCCTCACTGCGCAGGACCCGCAGCACGCGATGCGCCTGAGCAGCGGAGGGGAAGGTGAAAACTGGGTTCCTTTCACAAGATACCCATCACTCAAACACCCTCGAGGGCACAAGCACTGGTGCTGACACACAGGGGTGCACTGGTACACACACGTTCAAGTCTGCCTTCCACACTCACAGTGTAGGCCATAAACCTCGCTCCACCTATTTCAAAGGTCAGTGGATCCAAGATATTTGTTAATCCTCTATTACAGATCAGCACCAAATTAGACAATATTTGAAGAAGGAAACTGGGGAAGATGGTTTACAACTTTATGGAACTTAAAATGTAACTGATGAGATACAAAAACCACTATGATTAACACACGGCTGAGTGTACTCTAGGATCAGAATTACCTATCCAAGGTTTCCCAGAACCGCAAGAAAACTGGTCTGTCCAGATGGCGTTTGTGATAGCTGAGTTCTAATACCGTGACGTCCCATTTCTGAACATTTGGATCTAGACGAACTTCATCATATTTGAGATGGAAGGCTTTAACTACAGAAGACAGGGAAGAAAAAAAAAGTCTTTTCTATTCAAGCTGTAATCAAAATTAGGAAAACATCTGTAAAGTGTGTATGTATACATCCCGCGTTATATTAACAAGAAAAAAAATGGAAAAAAATTCAAAAAGTTAAAAAACACTCAATTTTCCCAGTATCAGCTGAAGCTACTGATATAATCAGCAAAGTTACCTCTTAAATAGATGCTGAGCACTATAGTATTGTTGGAAACAGTAGTGAGCATTTATACAAGTCAGCCACTGGGGATTAAAAATGAAGAATACGGCAAACTAAAATGCAAATGGCGCAGTGAAGAGTAAGAAAAACACTATTCATACAGTAAATACACCAAGGGTAGACAATGTCAGACTCAAAATAGAGTCTTACCTAGACTCTGAATCCAAAAAAGGCAGTGGTGTCTAAGACCATAAAGGTCAAGAAAGTAAGAAGCAAGCATACAATGCAAGTGATCCAGCTAGCAAGAAGAGCGGACAGTTTAGTCTAGGAAACAGGAAATCTGAAATGCCTTACGAACGGTATTATAGAGAGTAATATAGAAAGGGATAAAAGACTAATGTAACTGGACAGAGGTTCAGAGCGATGCAGGGCTCCCAGCTTTATCAGAGTGTGCACTTTTGTTCAAGGGACATGGGCAATCTCTGCCAAGTACTTAACAGAGTCTGCTACAATTTAGTAATCTAAGAGAAGAAGAGTTGGGCTCTTCAACTAGGTAGAAATTATATAGAAGAGAAATATTCAAGAGAGAATTGGGGAGTAAGAACAGGCCTAAATAAAAACAATGAAGGGAAAAAGAAAACATTCACCATTAAAGACACTGAACCTTTCAGTGAATGACTCGCACACACCATGCACTATTAGAGACACGTGGACACACCAGTGGCCAGAGTGGTGTCCACTCTCAGGAAGAACACATTCTGACAGCTGGCGTATGAAAAATATTCAGGCAGCAGAAATGCCACTGAAGGAAAACAAAGCAGGATAGGGAAGCAAGGTAATACAAGTGTGTGAGGAATGTTTTACATCCATGTTCAGGGAAGGCCTTTTTTGAGGAAGCAACCTAGAAGGTGGTGAATGAAAAGTATGTCTTGCAAAGACTTAATTAAGAGTATCAGGCGGGAGGAACGGCTGCCACAAAGGTCCTTGAGATACATGAACAGGCTGAGAACGTCTTATCTCCAGTTAGTTCTTGGAGGCGATGGTCTACATCAATCTGTTTTATTCCACAGGTGAGTCCAAGCCACTGGAAGCTTAGATCAACAAAGTGCAGTTTTCATTTTTAAACGACAGTCAGTCCTGGTAGTGCACGTCGGTGATCCCAGCACTTCAGAGGACGAGGCGGGGGTGGGGGGTGGGGGCGGGGTGAGTCCCAGGCCTGCCTGGGCTGCAGTGAGATGCGGCCTCAGTCAGTCGGCCAGTCAATACCCACCCACGAAAACTGCCCTCCGAGGTCTGGGCAGATGGAAGACTTACAGACTTTCTCCTGGGTAATCTCACGGACTCACCCCAACTAGTCTACTATTGTACTTGCACCCACTGTCTTACCAAGTTAACTGGGTTTTGCATGCATGTATGCAAAATGCTTAAAATTTGTTTCTCAGGTTTGACGGGTTTTTTTTTTTTTACTAGCGTATAATTTTTTTACTGTCATTAGCATCACCCAGTATAGGGTTTCTAACAAGAAAAAAAGTGACATCACTGAACATTTTTGATAGGTACTCTATTAATTATTGTTCCATAAAGCATACTGGCATATTGGCTTTTGATATCAATAACTCACCAACATTCGACTCTTAATGGAAGTTTAAAATAAGTCATTTGTACCCAGGAGAAAAAGCAAAACCATGTTGTTTTTAGAAGCAAAATCCTCTTCATCAGAGACAAATTATTCATTTTGACGTTAATTAAATCAATTTGTTAGAAAAGCTATATGCTACAGGAGTTTGGAAAACCCATTCTTAAAAATGTTGTCAATTTTTAAAGTTATTAAGTTATTTTGTTCTTCCTACCATACATTTTGCTTTTGTAATATGATTCCTGGTTTTCTTTAAATGACTGTTTAAAATACAGGTGTCTATGGCTCACACCTGTCATCCTAACTACTCAGGAAGCTGAGATCTGAGGGTCATGGTTCAAAGCCAGACCAGACTATTACCTCCAATTGACCCAAAGGCCAGAAGTGGGGCAGTGGCTCAAATGGTAGAGCGCTAGTCTTAGGCAAAAGCAGCTCTGGGACAGTGCCCGGCGTTCAGCCCTGAGCTCGAGGCCCACAACCAGCAGCACCAAAAAAAAAAAAAAAAAAGTTTAACAGTTTCGTTTTTAAAAAATTACTTTCCTAAAGATACTTCCTTAACCATCTCAAGAGATTCAATTGGCATAACTTATTTTTATACTAGAAGAGACATCTTTTTCAATTTGAGCTAGTATACTAAGTCATTAGTATAAAAGTTTATCACTAATGGAGAAACAAAGTAAGATTTTTCTCATTAAGATGGTGTGTGTGTGTGTGTGTGCGTGTCTGTCTGTATATATTTCGGTTGTGAGGCCTGAACTTGGCCTAGGTGCTGTCCCTTAGCTCTTCAGCTCAAGGCGAGCGCACTACCACTTGAGCCACAGCGCCACTTCTGGCTTTTTCTGCTTATGTGGTACTGAGAAATCGAACTCAGGGCCTCATGCATGCAAGGCAAGCGCTCTACCACTGAGCCACCTTCCCAGCCCTATAAAAACTTATTTTAAAAAAGAACTATAAGTTTTTAAGTTTCTACAAGTAAAAACAAAAGATACCAGTTATATACCAACATAATATAATGAATGAAATATTTCGTATGACTCAGGCTTGCTTCATGCATAAATCCTACCAGCACTCTTGGTGGGGAGCAACGAGGCAAAAGAAATGGAGAAGGTGCCCTTTCGAGTAGTGTCCAGATCCACGGCCACGGCATGACCACCGTCGCGCAGGCGGCTGGGATGAAGGACAAGGCTCTGCCACTAGCCCACTGCCCTGCCAGAAGCAGGACCTGAAACCCCAGACGGCCAGCCATTAGGACGAAGGCCCTCCAGCATCCTCACCACACTCTCTTCATGTGCGCCTAGAGGAGCACTAAGCCAGGGGAAAACAGGCAAATGGCCAAGCTAGGTTCTTAGGATGCGGAGATTAGGAATCAGGGTTCAACGATAAGCCAGCAGGCCGCCTCCCTCTCCTGTGGCCGGGCAGGGTGGTGGCCACACCATCATCCCGAGACATGAGGCAGCACAAGAAGCAGGAGATGTCCAAGCTGACCCTGGCGAATGTGAGACTGGACCTTGAAATGACCAAAGCAAAAAGGAGGGGCTGAGGGCGTGGCTTATGTGGCGGAGTACTTGCAAGCCCAGTGCCTGTGTTTAATCCCTAGCACAGGAGGGCAGGGCACGCAGCAAGGATGGTGCCCGGATTCCTACACTCAGCAGCCACTGTACGGGTGGCAAACCATTTGAGAGAGTTCGCATCTTGTGCCGAGGAGGAGCCCTGCCTGTTAGATAATAAGCCCAAGATGACAACTTGGGGCAACTGGCTCTTCCTCCCACTGCACCTCGTGCTTCGAGGCGCACTGCACCCTCCTCGCCACCCAGCACCGGCCAGCCCACTCCTGATGATTCTGCTGCTGCACTTGCAGGGGCTCTAAGCACCCAAAGAACCCAGCAGAGAACCGCAGTCCTCCCGGCCCCCTCTCAAAGCGCCGTGCCACACCACACGAGCAGCTCTCTAAATGCCAGCAGAAAAGAAATAGTGCAGAGGCAAGGCGAAAGAGAAGCATGAACAAGCTGTGTAAGACATCATGCACTGGGGCTGGGAAGGTGGCTCAGTGGTAGAGCACTTGCCTTGCATGCCTGAGGCCCTGGGTTCGATTCCTCAGCACCATATAAGCAAAAAGAAAAAAAGCCGGAAGTGGCACTATGGCTCAAGTGGTAGAGCGCTAGCCTTGAGCTGAAGAGCTGAGGGACAGCGCCCAGGCCCTAGAGTTCAGGCCCCACGACCGGACCCAAAAAAAAAAAAAGACATCATGCACTCAAAATGTTGTCTTCCATGTTGAAAATGGGCTATACAACTTGTGGTGGGGACAGGAGGGAAAACCGGGAGAGCGCAAGGGAAGGGGCGACAATGTCCAAAAAGAAATGTGCTCTTCACCTGTCTTACGTAACCGTGACCCCTTCACATCACCTTTGTAACAACAATAAAAAAGATGTAAAAAAGGGATGTCTTTAAGCAGTATGGAGGATAAACAACAGTAACAATGAATTCTACACAGCTGAGCATATATTTTTATATGCCGAAGATATTTTTTGGTTAAAATAGTATTCAATGAAGCAAACCAAGTATATAAAAGACAGGACATTTGCATTCACTGACATTTTCCTTTCATTTAATTTGCATCCTCTCTGCATATTTAACTTCTATTTACCAACTCTCTAAGCATTACTCTAACGATAACATAAAGAGCTATAATGACAGTAGTACTGTAATTCATTTAAAAAAATAAACAACAAATGATCCCAGCTTGGAATATTTGTGGCCGAATGGTGGTACCAGCCACAAAACTGGTTAGCAGAAAAGCTGTGCCTTCACAGCAGTGCCATGTATATTCATTATAAAACATCACAATCGCTTTACATTAATTCTACTCATGTTACTATTTTAGCTGCACCCTCCAACTACATAATCGTTTGAACGGTCCTTCCAAGCAAATAGACAGACTAGTGGACTTGGTTGTCAGAGGCTGAGATGCAATCCACATGCAGGGCTGTGCTCAGAGGAGCTCACTGCAGGCCTTCTTCTGTGCTGAGAACACAAAAGGGAGGCCACAGCAAAGGCCTCTCTGTGGGAGGACTTGCATTCCGGCCACAGAAGGCTACAGCAGAGCCTGTACTGTGAGTCCTGTCAATGAACTGAAATAGCTAAGAGAGAAAGCAAGTGGGAGATGATGGTCAGAGAAGTAGCCACCAGAGACAGAACACTTGAGCTGAGGTGTGAATAAGGAGGAAAGGCCGGCCAGTTGTGTTACAATTATGAGCATGATGGGAATAACTGGCAGTGAGTGTCATAGGGCATTTTGAGTTAATGCTACACCGTTTGGGTCAGCAAAGTTAGCCAAATAAACACTGATTATTAGCCACACATGTAATCCCAGCTACTTGGGAGGCTGAGATTGGGGGATCACAGCTCAAGGCTAGCCAGGACAGAAAAGTCTGAGAGAACTCTTTTTGGAGAGCAAGATGTGGTACTGGGTGCCAGGTACCCTACCCACAATGGAAAGCCCAAAACAGGAGGATTCTGGCCTCCGTTCACCGAGAAGGAAGTAGGACACTGTCTTGAAAATAACCAACACAAAAGAGGGCTGGGAGCACAGCTGGACGGTAAAGGTGCCTATCTGGCACGGTGAGCCCCTGAATTCAGTATTGTTAATTTAAAACAACAAGGAAGGAAGGAAGAAGGGAAGCAAGCGAGGAAGAGAGGAAGCGAGGGACGGAGGGAGGGAGGGAGGGAGGGAGGGAGGGAGGGAGGGAGGCAGGCAAGCAAGCAAGCAAGTGCGCTCGCTCATTATCATTGGGTTCATGTGTGGAAACATCAGTGAAAACCACAAATTTGTACAATTTATAAAGCACCAGGAACAGTGGTGTACATCTGTAGTCTCAGCTATTGGGAGACTGAGGCAGGAGAATGGCAAATTTGACACCTGCCTGGGCACAGAGCAAAACCTTGTCTCAAAAAACCCCCAAAAAACAAAACAAACAAACAAGAAACTAGTTACAATTTTAGCATAAATATGCTAACATATCAATGACTTAAGTGACCTAAAAGAATTATCAATGTTGTAAGATAATCAACATTCACTTCCATATATAACCGCACAGAAAATATTAACGTAGGAAAGGGCTTGAAAATACTCCCTGGCTCTGTGTTCCTTCATTCAAGGCCACCCGTCAGTACACTCACCGCGTATGCAGAGCCACATGAGCTCTTCTCATAAAGAACGTTTCTATATAGGATAAGCAGCAAATATACCAAGAGCCTTACTTTTAGCAAATATGTCGACTGGTGATCCATCAGGCAAAAGCCATGGCCAGCCTTTGAACTGCCACGCAGGACCTTGAACAAACACTGCTACAACTCGGTCCCTATAAGTAGAAGGTGGGTGAGGGAAAAAGGGAGAATATCTCAAAGTTGAGCTTCAGGTACTGTAAACTGCTAAGGAAACAGTCCACCGTTATTCACCTGACACAGCCTCCTACCTCCTAGGAGGGGCCAGGCGGAGACGGCTCTATCTATCACAGCACTCGGAGGCCGCTGTCCCTCCCAGGCTTCTGTTCCTTGTTTGCCCCATTCTCAGCTACCATGTTTTAAGCGTAGTAGCTGCTGAAAGGACTTACAAGTGTAAAGCTTCTTGGTTGCTATCACCTCTTCCTTCAGTCTCCCCTTCCCCCCCTCCCATCCCCCCTCCCATAGTTCATGTTTTACATACTGTACACTGAACATAATGACTGCATTTGCTCCCTTTCCTGCCTCACTCCTGTGCCCCGCCCCCTTCTGCAAGGCATGTTTCTACTTCCTGGTAACACTGTGATACACAGTGCACTAGGGTTCAGAGGCGGCGGGCCTTTGGGCTCTTCCCCTAAGCATACCTCCTCACGCCAGTCTGCGTGTGTGTAAGAGCGCTGAGCCCTGACTACGTTACCATGCATGGCTGTAGTTTTTCTCTGGCTTCCACACATGAGAGAACATGCACCAGGCTTCGATTTTGTGATTCTAAATCTTTCAGACATATTCACACAATAGTTTCCTATGTCTCGGCCTTTTCCTTTCCATTAACTGATGTAGGGGTGCACTTTTCCAGTGAATAGGAATTACTAGATATATATTAACTGAAACATTTTGTTTTAAAAAGAACTAACTTAAAATTCAAATACATCTTATTTTGTTTTAATTAAAATATAGTAACTCATCAACTATCTGATGAAGCCCAAGGCCTTATTTTCTAGTTCTTCAGCTCTTCAGAAACTATCTTCAGAAGCCATCTTGACTTTTCTACTTCTCCAAGTGCTTCCTTTACCCTGCATGCTCTATGTTAGGCTCCCTACTCCTGCCTCCTGCCCCAGTCCTGGGCCTGAACTCAGGGCTTAGGCACTGTCCCTGAGCTTTTTTGTTTTGTTTTTGTTAAAAGCTAGCACTCTACCTCTGAGCCACAACTCTACTTCCAGCTTTTTGGTAGTTTAATTGAACCTAAGAGTCTCACAGACTTTCCTGTCTGGGCTGGCTTGAATCTCAATCCTCAGATCCCAGCTTCTCTGAAGCTAGGATTAGAGGTGTTAACCATCAAAGCCCAGCTGTAATTTTTTAAAGCAAGTTGTTTTTTCCTGCCATTCCAACTGCTTTTCCAGGAGAGAATAAATCTCTTTCTAGGCACTCACATTTCATTATCTTGTACATTATTAGTTGAGAAATCATCATAGGTACTCCCATGAGTAGTTTAAGGCAGTAACCACCCAGCTGGGAGCAAAACACAGGGTGGCTAGTATCACTAATGAAACATAGTAACTATGAGGCAGCTCTACATTGGCCACACGCATACATCGAGCCTTCAAAAGCAACCTGCAGGGGCTAATACTACCATACTGTTCCTCCATTTTCAGATGAGAAAACAGAAGTGCCTTGGTATACTGGAGAACAATCCACTACACCCAGGGGGCAGGGGGAGAGGGGCAGGAAGGAGACCAGATGATGAACGCTGGGCACCTGGGACGTGGGTGGCCGGTTCCTGTTTAAGGACTGAGAACAGCCACTCAATCATCTATTATATATTATACAGAGTTCAACCTTTCAATCCAAGGGAAGGGTCTTGGCAAAGCCCAGAGACCTGGGGACTCCTCACATCCAATAAAACCTCAATACTCCTGAGGAGAACTGCAGCCTTAAAATTCTTAACCCTGCTCAAGATTTCTGAAGCTAAAATTAAACCTGAAGGAAAAAAAGAAATCTTCATTCCATGGGATTATGCCCCACACTATCAAAACCATCTTCAGTACTGTGACACTGAATTAAATGAATTTTACAATGTAATTTATCCCACACAGCAGCTGAAATACTACAATGGTATCATTGTTGATGACCAAGTTAGAGCTACATAATCAGTGTTCAATAACAATACAAACAGATACATGGTATACACACACACACACACACACACACACACACACACGCACGCACGCACACACATATACATTCTCTCACTTTCTCTCTCTCTCTTACCAGTCCTGAGGCATAAGTTTAAGGGGCTGGTCTACCACTCTATACGGTACAGTGACGCTAACTGCAGCACCCCCTGGCTGCATCTGATCTTTTCTTCTCTGTATCAGAGTTTCATTTTCTCGTTGACAGCCTTGTTTCTTCTTTTCATCCGATGGAACAAATCTTTGAATAAACAGAAAAAAAAAAAAAACAACAAATGCATTCAGTGTGATGAAGTTAGGAAAATACATTTTGAAATAATCTTTAATCTTTAGAAGACTAATGTTTTTAAGCTAAAATGTTTTGAAATACATCTTCTATGCATATATAGATCATGCTGCCTATAAAGTATGGACCTTTCCTTTCCTTTCCTTTAATTAGTATGTAACATTCACCACACTCAATCTTCATTTCTCAAAACTATCTACTAGAGAAAAACAATAAAGGAAACTTTATTAAATAACAAAGAGGAAGAAACTCATGTGGCTAGATAGGCTTCTCCAGTGGGTAGCGTAGTTTATGCCAAATCTTCATATCAGTTCACCCTTTTTCACAGTTCTGTGCATCAGCAAAATTAGGAAAAATGCCATAAAGCTTCAGTTGCTTTGAAGATTTTAAAGTAGGGAAATCACCTTATACAATAGTCTATTTTAGTAAATATCATTAATACCATCAACTCGACCTAAATGGTTCAATTCTCCATTCACTCCCAACAGATCTTTTCTAAAATTCTCTATCTGCAGAGCCACTGTCAGCTCTACAGTTTGGCTCTTGTGGGCATTTTAACAATTTTAAACAATCTTTTCTTCAAAATAAACATAACCCAAACATACAGTCTAAGAGTCCCTCCAATGGCATTTGGCCAATACAACCAACGCAAAGAGACGGCCCACGAGGTGTGTGAGAGCCCGCACTCTGAAGTTCCTTGGAAAGTTTCAAAGCCACATGTTGTATTCATCAAACAGTATCAAAGCTTTTAATACATGATGGCAATAATACTTAAGTTTATGTCTAAGCTGACTGATTTCACCTTTTGAAACCTGATGAAAAACCAAGGTATTCATAACATTAAAAAAAAAAAAAGGCCTAACAACCAAAGTACCAGTGGCTCACACCAGTTAGTTCTATCCAGTAAGAAGTATAAGATCTGGAGGACTGCAGTTCCAAGCAAACCCAGACTCTACTTCCAAAATAATCAGAAAAAAAAAAAAAAAAAACACGGTTGGAGGTATAGCTCAAGTGGGCAAACAAGCCAGAGGAAAGCACCCTGAGCTCAAGTCCTAACAATAAGTCGTCCCAGATAATCAGCTACTCTTCCCAGATCGGTTTTCCTAGTCAGACTCAACAGAAAACATCGAAAATAATACTAACACCCTGAGATACAGTACTCTGCTGAAAACTGACTTCAAATGGAAACCCACAAGCTACAAAACAATATGTGCAGTACACTGTCCTACAAATTATTGTGTGTGTGTGTGTGTGTGTGTGTGTGTGTGTGTGTGTGTGTAACTCAGTTCTTGCACTCTTGAACTTGTTCCAGAATAAAAGAATCTCACTGAGTAAAAGGATCTCACTGTCAAAAAACAGAAAAAGATGCTGGGTGCTGGAGGCTCACGCCCGTAATCCTAGCTATTCAGGAGGCTGAGATCTGAGAATAACAGTTCAAAGCCAGCCTGGGCAGGGGTGAGACTCTGATCTCCAATAAACTACTCAGAAAGCAGAAGTGGCGCTGTGGCTCAAGTGGTAGGGTGCTAGCCTTGAGCTGAAGAGTGAGGGACAGTGCCCAGGGCCAGAGTTCAAGCCCCACGACCGACCGACCGACACACACACACATACACAAAGATGCTTTCCTTCAATTTATCTCAATTAGTATATATCTAGATGGGATTAAAATGTTTTAATTCTTAAATATAATATTACATATTTCTCCCTTTGGCTTCTGGAAGATGCTGTGAAAGTATAAAAGTATTTCTCATCTTTAGTAAGGAATGAGTCATAAGATACAGGTAAGTAAAATATTAAAATATCCAACTAAGTCTACTGAAGAATTAATTCAACTGCTGCTACCTAAAAAGTTACATAGCATCTCCATGTTTACTCACTGATTGCTCTAATTTTTACTAAAGTTATGTAGTTTTTCAATTGAAGACAGAATTTTCACATCTTCTTTTCTAACCAAATCATGATTATTTCCTTAGAGTGCTATAGCCTCTATTAGAAATAAAATGAATTATTTCAAAATGCTTTTCAGCCTTGACACAGTTGACAACTTAAGGATAGACCTATGATCCCTTGAACTTAAATCTACTAAAAAGACTAGTATTCTACAAAAGGTCAATATAAAAGTTACCTGCTCACCCTATAATAATTGGTCAAATCTCCCACACCACAGACTGTGAGATACACCACTTACATTGTACCACTATGGACGAAAACGACTGCCAGCTAACATTCCAACAGTACCTTACGCCTACACACCTAAATTGGAGCCATCTTCCTGGAGGGAGCTGGCTACTCTCCTGACTGGGACTCCCTGTCTGACACTGTGAGAGGAAGCGCTTTTGTTCACCTATGGTAGGTTCTGCATAGGTACCACTACTTCATTCCATAAAATACTTGGCTGTTGTTTTACAAGAAAGCATTGAGATCATTCCTCCTACAAGAAAGAATTCACAAACACCAAATTTATATTCCACTGCTTCATTTCAGTTTATTTCTGCACACGCAGCACTTTTATGGACACAAGATTTACGTACTATGAAATGTGCAAGTTAGTGTTTATATATACCCAGTGTATGCACCATACCAATTACGACAAAGAACAGAACACATTAACGCATTCAGTGGCTGTACAGGCAAGTCACATCCTAGTCCCCATTCGCAACAGACAAACACTGTTTAGATTTCTGTCACTATTCATTAATTCTGCCTGTCCTGAGAATTTAGACATACAGTAATACGGATGTACTCCTTTGTACCTGGCTTCTTCCAATCAATTTAATGTGTCTGATATCCACCCATGCTGTGGGTTTATCAGTGCTTCATTCTTTTATTCTGGGTAGAATCCTACGGCAATAATACACCACAATTTATCCATTTTCCTGCTGGTAGGTATTTGGGTATCTTGGTCTATTTGGGATGCAATAACAGAAATACCACAGATTAGGTGACTAACCAACAACAGAATTTTGGTTCTCATGTTCTCCAGTCTGGGAGGTCCAAGATCAAGAGGCACCTGAGGAGTCTCATGAGGTTCATCCACCGTGCTCTCCACAGTGGAGGGGCATGGGGGCAAAGGGTTCGCTTCATGGGAACACTGACCCCACTTCTGAACACAACCATCAATGAAAAACCATCATACTGGGGTCAAGCTTCAACACATGAGACTGGGGAAGAAGGGAAGGGGTATACACAAGCATGCTGTGTGAGTGGTTGCAAATGTGGGTACTACATAAAGCTAAGCTGAGTTAGTACTCTATAGGTGCGTTTATGAACCTGTGTAACATACGTTTTCTTCTCTCTTTTGTAAGTACCTTTGAACAGACCTGGTAGATCATGTGTTAAGTTTAGCTTTACAACAAACTGTGGGGAAGTTTTCCAGATTAAGCTTTTTCCCAGTTTTAGTTTTTCTTTTTTTTGTCAGCCATGGAGCTTGAACACAGGGCCTGGGCATGTCCCTGAGCTTATTCACTCAAGACTAGCATTCTACCACTTTAAGCCACAGAATCACTTCCCATTTCCTGGTAGGTCACTGGAGATAAGAGTCTCATGGACTTTCCTGACTGGGCTGGCTTTGAACCACAATCTTTAGATTTTTGCCTCGAGAGTAGCTAGGATTATACAAGTGAGCCAATGACATCCAGCAGTCTTTTTCAGTTTTTCTCAAGTACTACCTCATTATGTATTTGTAAAGACTTCTGCTCATGCTGATTGTCTTTCTAATGTTGATAAAGTGGAGTCACTGACATTCTGGCCCTGACTGTTAGAAATATGCAATGATAGTATTTCCAAACTGTGCCAGGAGTACCACCTAGCTCTCGCTAAGATGTCATCAATTAGCAAGAAATATCCCAGTTTCAGAGACATTAAAACATAAAGCATGTGCCTGTCTTAAAGTACAGTGCTCCAGCCAATTAACCCAAGGGCTGTAAACCATGGAACTATTGGTTTGGTTACTCCAGGCAAACGGTCAATTCTCAATGAGTACTCTTCCACTGTAACTCCATTCGCAACTTACAAATATGAGCCAATGATGACAGCAATGGCCAGATTAAAGTAAACAAAGCAAACACTAAGCCTATCATCTTCTGCCAGACTAAAGTCTTAATGGAGCACATCGTACTATTTTACTCCTTGCCCAAGAAGTGTGAAGAAGTACTGTGCTCTTTACATAAACTACTGTCATTTCCTAGTCTATAAGGTGGCATCTTAGAAGCAATGCATCTGACATTCAAATCTGAATGAGGTAATTCTGGTTTCCTAGCCTACCAAACTTTAAACGCATCTCTAAGGATGGATTTAAATTTACTTAATTCTAAATTTAAGCCATGTGTATTACACTTTGAATCTATGAATTTATCGCCTTTATTCAAAGTAGCATTTAATTGTATTGAATTCTGCCAGTGTTTTCTTTACTACAGCAATTACCTAAGTTGTTATTTTCCCACCAGTCTTCAGGTTTCCTGAAGGCCATGGCTATGGCCTTCACACCAGCTAGTGTGCTGCTCCCCTCTCCCAGGGCTCAGACACTGGCTAATGTGGAAAATCACCCTGAAAGACTTACGTAGCTAGAACCACGTTATTTAAGATTCCTGAGTGTTCTGACATCCATTCATGAACTGTGACAATTATATTTTTATACTTATTTTGAAGGGAAAAAAAAGAACAATGGCTTGAGGTAACATGAACAAATTATGACCTTTACCAAGTAGGTCTTTTTTCCTTTGTTTTTTAACTGTTATGGCAGAGTTGCTGTGGAGGGGTTACAGTAATGAGTTATGAGTACAGCTATTTCTGAACCTTGTCTCCCGATCTCCCCCTCCCCACAGACTAGATGTCCAGTTCATTCTCCATAGTGTCTACTGAGTGTCGCTGCTGTATTTGTTCATCCTGCTCCACCTTCTATGTGTCCTCCCTTCTTCCCCTCCCAAATGCAACAAACAAGAGAAAACAAAACAAAAACAGCAACAATAGCAACTAAAAAAAGTCTCATTTCCTTTTCTTGGAGTTCACTGCATAGACCACTGTTTTATATGAGCATCTGTTGATGACTTTGTCTACCACCTGCACACATGTCCTCCTTGGCCTTAAGAGTACGTTAATGACTAGGGTCCTATATAATTTATCATGTCCCAGTGTGGGTGTCCATATACATGTCTATGTGTGTCTATAATCATGCAGTGTGTACTTGTAGATTTATAGGCACGGCACATTCTAGTTACCACATGAGGGAAACCATGCAGCCTGTTTCATTGGCTCTGGCTTACTTCATTTCATATAATTTTTTCCAAGTCTTTCCATTTCCTTACAAATGGTACAATATTATTCTTTCTGATGAGTAGAATTCCATTGTGTATATATACCACATTTTCTTGGTCCATTCATCCACTGAGGGACTTGTAGGTTGATTGTGTATCTTGGCTATGGTCAAACAATACCACAATGACCATGGCTGTGCTGGTGGCTTTAGTGTGGTCTGGCTTATGGTCCACTAGATAAATGCTCAGGAATGGAACTGTTGTGTCATAGGGAAGCTCTATGTTTAGTCTTTCCATATTGCTTTGCAGAGTGGTTGAAAGTTTACAATCCCAACAACATGTAATAGGGTTCCCTTTTGGCCACATCCCCGCCAGCATTTGCTAATTATTAGTTTTCCTGATAATGGCCATTCTAACTGGTATAGGTCTTTCATTCTGCTTATATGATATGATAATATGACAAACTCCCTAAGTAATTGGAATAATACCTCCAAAAAAGCTAAGTTATTAATAAAGTCCTTCAAGATTCTTAAAGGCATCTTTGAGTATTGAGTTAAAAAACTGTAAAGAACATTTGGGTGAAAAAGTAATGACCCTGTGCTTCGGCAGGCATAGCAAGCACTTACAAACCTATTCAATCTAGGCTTGGTTTCCCACGTCTCACAAGGCTTCTTCTAGTCGTATAGAAAACAAAGCTCAAATCCTCTCACTGTAAGAAATCTAGTAAGAGTTCCTCTTCTCATAAACTGGCAATCGTGTTAAATTCAGCACAATGGTAATACTTGAAATAAGGCCATACTTGTCTTTTCTTCCCTACCTTTCCCCAAGACATAAACTTTACCCATTTGCAAAGAAAACTAGAATGTCTCAAAACTGAATATGCAGCAAATGCAACAATATCTGGACATTTAAACTCAAACTGGGTAGGCATAGTGGCAAATGTCTTTAATCCCAGATACACAGGATTTGTAGATGGAGAGGATCATAATTCGAGGACAGCCTAAGCAGAGGTTAGTAAGACCTCCATTTCAACCAGCTATGATGCAAACCACATGGGAAACATGTTAGGATTATTGTTCAAACTGGCCCCTATAAAAATATAAGACACTATCTGAAACAAATAACTGAAGCCAAAAAAGGGCTGTGGATATGGCTTAAGTGAAAGAACTTGCCTAGCAAGTTCAAGGCCCAGTATTTCCAACCTCCATACTAACAAAACAGACCCTTCAAACGGAAAAGTTAAAGGGATGCTTCCACAACATATTCAGTAAATCTTCACTGGAGTACTCCTCACATTCACTGAAGACTCAATTTCCTCAGAAAAATATCCCAAAGAATATCTATGTGAAGTAAGTTATAAAGGTCAAGCCTCTGAGAATCATGATGGGCCATAATCTGAAGATTTAATTCTAAAAATCCCAAATAAGAAACAGGAAGGACCTCTACATCTAAGAACATTTTAAATTATCTTTAAAATAACCACACAGGACAATTTCCCTCCTACAACGGATGACCTCATTGAAGGCTAGCTTATCATCATCAATAAGGGATCTAGAAGTTACTGCAAGAAGATCTTCAATGTGGCAAGAAAATTAAAATTTGCTGTCTGCCGTCCTGAAGCAGCTCTAAGCGCTTGCATTGCCTGTGGCTGTAAACATGGGCAGCTGAGGATCGTTCCTGTCATGTAAGCTCCAGGAACTGTCCTTGCCCTGCCTGCTTCTTTCCAATGCCTCAAGCAGTTTCCTCACAGGCAGGAAAGCGAGGGGAACGCTCTCCAATGCCTCAAGCAGTTTCCTCACAGGCAGGAAAGCGAGGGGAACGCTCTCCAGATCTGAGCCTTGTTCCCTTCTCCTTGGACTCTGCCATCATGCACAGAACACACGTTCTACCTAATTTATTTATCGTAAAATAACCTACTACACTTCTTTCAGGTTTGCTATTTAGCATGTTAAAAGTTAAGCCTCGTTTTATTTTTGGTTTCATTTACTTATTGGAGGGGCTACAAAATTGAGGAATCTACGCCTTTACATAAAACCGAACAATCTAGCCAATTTGAACCCTGAGTTACAGCCAGTCCTAAAGTTGTGTGGAGGAGGTTTCAATTATGCATTAATTACACAGCAAAGTCTCCAGCTGATTCCAGCAGTAGGGAGATGTCAGTTGCAATGAGGTGTTAAACAATGAAGGAAATGTTTTGAACTTGAAAGAAACCTAGCATAATCTACCCTCAAAATGTCGTCCGTTTAATGGTTTGTCTTCTCCATAGCCAGGCTTTTAAAGACAGACATCAAAATCTACTTTGTGATTTCTGTTCACTATAAATACAAGATTCGTAATATGTTAAGATAAACATTGCAAAGGTTCTAGAGAATGAAGAACTGATAGCATTTTTTTTGGGAGGGGCCAATAAAAGCTTATTAAATCATGTCACAAAGCAAGCAACAACTTCTTTGCTATATAAAAGTCATGTAACAATGCAAATAATACATTACCCGCCTAATTATGCCAGTAGAGTTCCTTTTCATTCCATTCTCTGCACAAGCACAATTCTCTCCACAATGGCTAGCCATTCACTGGCACCCACTTCTCAAAGTGCCCAGTGGGTCAGGAAGGTCCAGGTAAACTAGGGGTGCAGCCAGAGGCCTGGGCATCGACCAAAAGGGGTAGCCACAAGTTCCAAGTGTCCCTTGGCTTGGCCAGAGTCAGGCTCAGTTACAAGAGTCCCAGAATCCCACCTGCTTCTAATGAGATACCAGAATTGCTTGAGTGTTTAAAGTACTTTCACTTGCTAGTTATATGCAGCAATAACCCTAGTTACTCAGGAGGCTGAGATCTGAGGCTCGTGGTTCAAAGCCAGCCCAAGCAGGAAAGTCTGTGAGATTCTTATCTCCAATAAACTACTCAGAAAAGGCCAGGAGTGCTGTGGCTCAAGTGGTAGAACGCCAGCCATCAACACAAAGAGGCTCAGGACAGCACCCAGGCCCTAAGTTCAAGCCCCACAACTGACCAAAATAAATAAATACTGTAGCTATTAAATAAAATTTTGTATTCTCCTAACAAATAATGCTGACTCAGTAACAACTAATTTTCCAGTGACATCTCAGTGTCCTAGGAAAAGAAGCTGCATAATGCACTTACTTCAAATCCTGCAGAAGGTCTTTCGCATTAAGCATGGTAATTAAAGAAGTGGTAGCAGCAGGTATTATGATAATGGGTGTCCGTGATCCTATAAAGACCAAATTTTAAACATATCAAGTAATTATTATTAGAATTTATTAGAAGCAATTATACTTGCTCTATCTACTAGAAAATGAAATTTTCCAAATATATAACTAATTCTTTAGAGCTAAAAAAAACTAGTAGTTTCAACTAGCAATAACAGGAAAAATATAATCAATGTGTCTTAGGTCTGGACCAATCCGAACAGGTACGAAGCACATTCATTAATAGCACCAGCAATGGTTTGTAACCTAGTTCAAACACTTTTGCTTCTTGAGTAACTTTAAAATCTTACCTTTCTTCTGATTTGGAGGAGGTCTTGCTTGAGAAACTGTAAGAAGGGGGGAAAAATCACAACTGAGTGTTACAAAAACCATATTCTTATTTTCAAGCTTTAACAATGAAGGCCTAAAAATTGCCAGTATTCACACTACTAGCTATAAAAATTAAAAAAAAAACATACAAAATATTTTCTCAAGTAATGTTACCTCTCTGCTTCATCAAAATATGAAAATGACTTAGCATTCCTCAGCAATATTTTATGTTCATGGACACTAAGTTTTGATACAAAGGAAATCATCACACAGTAAATGCAAAACCAGTGGATAAAAGCACACAGCAATTGGCCAAAGGGCATTGGAGAGCACAGCTATTTCACTGGGAGTTAGGATCTAAATACCCGCTTTCCAAAGAATTTTTAATTTCTTCTTAGGAAGAGACTATTAAAGTAAGGAATAAAGTGTATTTGAAGACTTATACACGTGATCTTAATATATCTATGTTACCAATAATATTAACATTATCTTGAGCATAATGTTATTATTAATGGTATGGTAATGATTACAGTTTGACATAAATTATGATGTTGATTTCAATTGATTAAATAATTTTGGTTGTGTTAGAAACTATTGTTTTACTTTTTTTTATTGGTGGTAGGCCCTTTACCATTTGTACCATGTCTCCAGGCCAGTTTTACTGGGTTTTTTTGTTTTTTGTTTTTTATGGTCAGTCGTGGGGCTTGAACTCTGGGCTTGGGCACTGTCCCTGCGCTCTTCAGCTCAAGGTGAGCATTCTACCGCTTGAACCACAGCACCCGTTCCAGTTTTCTAATGGTTTATTGGAGATGAGAGTCTCACGGACTTTCCTGCCCGGGCTGGCTTTGAACCGCAATCCTCAGATCTCAGCCTCCTAAGTAGCTAGGATGACAGGCGTGAGCCACCAGCGCCCGGCTCAGTTTTACTGTTTTTAATATGAGATAGACTTCATAAAGCATTAAAAAAAATTCATTGGCATTATGACAACTGTAACTTAACAGATGAATACTAAAAATAAGAAGTGCTGCAGATTCAATTTTCAGTATCTATCCATGTAATAAAATCTTAACAGTGAGGGCTGGGAAGGTGGCTCGGTGGTAGAGCGCTTGCCTTGCATGCCTGAGGCCCTGGGTTCGATTCCTCAGCACCACATAAGCAAAAAAGAAAAAAGCCAAAAGTGGCTCAAGTGGTAGAGTACTAGCCTTGAGCTGAAGAGCTGAGGGACAGCGCCCAGGCCCCATGACCGGACCCCCCCCCCCGCCCCCGCCAAAAAAAATCTTAACAATGAGACTCACAAGACACTATGCTGCAAATGAATTTTACAACTTGGAGGGAAGGAAAGGAATGGGGAGGTGGGGAGAGAAAGGATAGTAGGAGAAAAGCAAAGGAGGGGTAACAATTCTCAACAAGAAATGTACTCATTACCTTACTCATGTAACTGTAACTCATTTTTACAATAAAATAAAAAAAAATTTTGGGTCTGGTTGTGGGGCCTCAACTCTGGGCCTGGGCGCTGTCCCTCAGCTCTCCAGCTCAAAGCTAGCGCTCTACCACTTGAGCCACAGCACCACTGGCTTTTTTTTTTCTGTGGTGCTGAGGAATTGAACCCAGGGCCTCATGCATGTAAGGCAAGCGCTCTACCACTGAGCCAACTTCCCAGTCCCAATAAAATAAAATTTTTAAAAAATCTTAAATGTATTCTATGTGGCATATGCAATGTTGGAGTTGGCTTTATTAAAAAAAAAAATCACAAAAAAATTTAGAAAACATAAAATTCCTATTCCTTCTTCATGATGCTGTAATGGAGAACACAAGACACTAAGAATTGTCAAGACCACAGAACTTCACAGCACCAACACTCATTTGTGCAAATTCTTCTATAACTTAAAAAATAATTTTTTTAAAAAATTGGGCATGGTGGAGGTGTCAGGAGAAGCTATGCTGCCCTGCACAGGTCACTTAAGAGATTGGGACAAGGAGGTAGTACATTCCAGGACTGCACGCAAAAGGGAATCTATCTGTGTGCTTCTTGCACACGAGAACACGGCTCAGCAATTCTGAAACTGTTGTATGTGTATACAGTGCTGTGTGAATTTACTGTGCTACATCCACTGGCCTGCACTAAGTGACTGGTGAACAGTAGTGGGAAACTCTAACTCAACTGCCAGGTTTTAGAAACAGATACTAAGAGAATCAAATAAGACAATTTTCAAGTCAGATGCTAAGAGAATCAAATAGACAATTTTCGAGTATGTTCCCTTTAGAGACAACACCCCTGCTACATTTTAACTAATTCTTCAAACTCTTCTGTACAAGTTGTTAGATAATATGATCTTCCAGGCACAAAAAGCTCACACAAGCACATATTTACTGTTGTCTTTTCATTATTCCTCTTATTGAGAAAAACTACTGAAACTTTCTCAAATCATTTCTAGAAAAAGAACTCACAAGTCTGATCATCTATACAGTGTAATCTAGCATATGATATTTCAGTATTTGAGGAAAAATGAATGACAGTACCGTCCCACGAGTAAGCAAGAGACAGAAGCTGCTGTGCGTACAACAGAGGGAGGGCGGACAAGGGCGGGCGGAGGACGGAGGACGGAGGGTGGAGGGCGGACAAGGGCAGGCGGAGGACAGAGGACGGAGGGTGGAGGACGGAGGGAGGACAAGGGCAGGAGGAGGGAGGAGGGTGGAGGGCGGACAAGGGCAGGTGGAGGGTGGAGGGAGGAGGGAGGACAAGGGCAGGAGGAGGGTGGAGGGCGGACAAGGGCAGGCGGAGGGTGGAGGGGGGAGGGAGGACAAGGGCAGGCGGAGGGTGGAGGGAGGAGGGAGGACAAGGGCAGGAAGAGAGAGGAGGGAGTAGGGAGGACAAGGGCAGGAGGAGGGAGGAGGGAGGACAAGGGCAGGAGGAGGGAGGAGGGAGGACAAGGGCAGGAGGAGGGAGGAGGGAGGACAAGGGCAGGAGGAGGGAGGACAAGGGCAGGAGGAGGGAGGAGGGAGGACAAGGGCAGGAGGAGGGAGGAGGGAGGACAAGGGCAGGAGGAGGGAGGACAAGGGCAGGAGGAGGGAGGAGGGAGGACAAGGGCAGGAGGAGGGAGGAGGGAGGACAAGGGCAGGAGGAGGGAGGAGGGAGTAGGGAAGACAAGGGCAGGAGGAGGGAGGAGGGAGGAGGGAGGACAAGGGCAGGAGGAGGGAGGAGGGAGGACAAGGGCAGGAGGAGGGAGGAGGGAGGACAAGGGCAGGAGGAGGGAGGACAAGGGCAGGAGGAGGGGGAGGGAGTAGGGAGGACAAGGGCAGGAGGAGGGAGGACAAGGGCAGGAGGAGGGAGGAGGGAGGACAAGGGCAGGAGGAGGGAGGAAGGAGGACAAGGGCAGGAGGAGGGGGAGGGAGTAGGGAGGACAAGGGCAGGAGGAGGGAGGACAAGGGCAGGAGGAGGGAGGAGGGAGGACAAGGGCAGGAGGAGGGAGGAAGGAGGACAAGGGCAGGAGGAGGGAGGAGGGAGGACAAGGGCAGGAGGAGGGGGGAGGGCGGACAAGGGCGGGAGGAGGTCAGAAGTCGGGAGCCCCTACTTCACTCAGTTGGTAAAGGCGTCAACAAATGGACTCAAGAATTTAAAATAAAGGCTCGGAAAACCAAATGCAAGGAAAGGGCAAAATACAAAACGCCCCAGATGTCAACGTCAGGTGCTAGGGGCTCATGTCTGAAGTCCTAGCTGCTCATAAGGCTGAGACTTAGAGGATTGTGGTTTTACACTACACCAGTCCAGGTAGAAAAGTCTGCAAGAGTCCATCTCTAATTAACTAGCAAAAAAGCAAGACTGGAGGCAGGGCTCAAGTAGTGGAATGCTCCAGCCAAAAATGAGGAAGCGTGACACCTCTGAGTTCAAGCCCCAGTACAGAGGCTGTGTGCACGCATGGAGCGGGTGTTCCACGTGAACTGAAAAATAAAGATCACAGGTTTCGGAGGGGAAACAACTCCAGAGGAGCATTCACAGGCTGTCAGGGAAGGGCGCTGTGACACCCGTGCTGGCAAGCTTGACCCAACAGAGGCAAGGAGGCAATGCAAAGCACTCAATAATAAGGGTCTGGCTCTGTTTTTTCAACAAAGATTTATTTTAGTATAACAGGCTAAAGTAGGGAAAGAAACACTGCCTGCTCCCCATGCAGGAAATGGGAGTTTGAGACCCCTTCATAGCCAGGGTCTGCTTCAGATGACTTAAATGTGTACCCGCATTTGCCACTGCCAGGGATATTCCTATGGTAAGCTGGTTGACTGCACTTAGCCTCAGTTTCTTCCTATACACAGAAATAATAATTCCTACATCATGGTAAGTGGTGTGCAGACATTAAAAACAATAATGTTTATCAAGTTCTTAGCCAGGTCATGGTATGTATTTACAATTTCCTGACCCTCCAGCTAGAGCTGATGCTGAATGCTGCTGCAGTGACTCTACTACATAGACAGAGTGACTCCAATGGCAAGCCAAAAAAAGGCCATGAGTAAAATCACGATTGCTGCCCTGTTTGATTTCAAATGACTGTACTCTCTACTTAAGTAACATTTATACAGAGCCTATGTACAAAGCTGGTTATTATTAAATGGTACGTGAAATAGTAGTTATGCCTCTCTTTGAAAGGACTCTCAGAAGACTATGAGAGGTGGATCCTAAGAATAATACACACACACACACACACACACAGAACATACTAAGGAACAAACTGAATGTGCACAGTAAAGTGTCTTTTAGCTAAGATATGTAGAAAAGGCCTCTCAATGAAAGTGACATTTAGGCTGGAATTTCTGAAGGATGAGAAGACGCCAACGTGCAAAGAACAAGTGGGTAAACTGTCCACAGGAATGTGTGCAAATGCAAGGGGTAGGAAGAAGCTGCTATGTTTATAGAACTGAAACAATGCAAATGTGCAGACCACAGGGAAGAAAAGAAGGGCAAAAGGTGAACTTGCACGTTTAAACCGGAAGTCAATTCTCAGAGACTTTTGTGCAACATTCAACAGTTAAAATTATGATATTGTTTAGGCTGGTTTTGAACTCCTGGACCCAAAGCAACCTGCCTCCAAGCAGCTGAGACTATAAGCACACAATACTACGTGAGTCCTAAATTCATACGGGCGGAGTGGAGAAGGGGACGCGCACGGGGATTTGAATCGATGCCTCGTGCCTCACTAGGCAAGGGCTCTACCCACTGCCCCTGCCCTTCTCGATGCCCGCTGTTTACAAACGTCTCCTGTGTAGCTGGAATCACATGTGTGCACCATGTTCAGCCCCTGAGTTTGTATTTTAGAGCTATCACAAAATCCTATCACTTCTAATCCAGAAAGTGACATGATTTGATTTTCATGTCACACTTTCTGCAAAAGAAAATAATGGATTTAGACAAGAGATCAAAAGGGGACTGTGTGAAAGCACAAAGCTCAGTTGGAACAGGTACAGTAATCTACAAAGGTACTCCTAAATCATTCGTGGCTTAGGGATAAGAGGCTTTTTCTCTTTTTAAGTTCCAATCTAAGACCATTGAATTACTTTAAAAAAAAAAAAAAGATGATCAAGCCCTTGAATAGTATGACAGTAATTTACCCTTAAATCTCTTGTACCTTGCTGGGGTCCAGAAACAAAAGACAGATGGACTGATATTGGTCTACTGACCACAATTTAAGATGCTCTCTAGATATATGATGGTCTTCAGTTGAGCAATAAGGAAAAAAGCAGGTAAAGTAGAAATACAGCAAAATAATCTGATAGAACCCAAGGACAGATAAACGAAGTGTAAGGTCCACCCTGGAAGGAGGTACAGACTCCTCCCTCTTCTTGGTTAAGTCTCCACCTCCCTGAGGTCACAGCGGCATCCGGTATGGCCACACCTCCCGGCCCTGGCCAAGGTTAAGTCTGGCCTGGCTGTGGTTCAATCCTGGTTTATTCCTGCTGGGTGGGCTTCCAACTTGACCAGAGGCGGCCTGCAAAGAAACCTTTCCCTTCCTGAAAACCACGTGCTGCTCTCCTTCCTCAGCTGCCAATTTAATTTACCTAACAGAAAGACCTAAGGAAATGTGAAGAAAAGTATGTCTGTGAAGGTTTTAGACTATTAAACAGACTTAATGGAGATACTAGTTACAAAGAAGCAGGAAAGTGTCCAGTAACAGATTTGAAGGGAAAATAGTTTTACAATGTCTGTGTCATACCTAAATGGAAAACAGGTATGTTAATGCATAGGTTGGAGGGTCTAACTGAAGGCTCAGACTTGGAAGTCATCAGCACACAGACTTAAGATTATAGAATAAGAGTAGAAGTATGTCAAACACTATGTAAGTTATAAACTGTATGGCTGAATAGAAGACCTTTTTAAACAACTAACCTAGAGCTATAGGTCATTTATTGACTTCAGAATGTCTATGAACTACAAATGAAGGATTAAGGCTGGAAAAGTGAAGTGTAGAGGTGTGTCCATTAGAAACAAAGTAGGAAAAAACAGGTATGTGCAATGGTTTAATCAGGTGAAAAAAAACAACAGCCAGCTGCCAGTGTTCACACCTATAAACTGAGGTATGAAAATCATAGTTGGTAGATAACCCAGGGAAAAAAATCCTCACAACTTTTAATGTTCAATTACTCACAAAAAAAACCGCAACTGGAGACATTATTCAAGTGGCACAGTGTCAATCATGAGCAAAAAAGCCAAACCAAGCCGTGCGCTGGTGGCTCACGGCCTATCGTCCTAGCTACTCAGGAGGCTGAGATCTGAGGATCGCGGTCGGTTAAAAGCCAGCCTGGGCAGGAAAGTCCGTGAAACTCTTATCTCCAATAAACTACCAGAAAACTGGTAGTGGCGCTGTAGCTCAAGTGGTAGAGTGCTAGCCTTGAGCTGAAGAGCTGAGGGACAGTGCTCAGGCCCAGAGTTCAAGCCCCACGATTGACCAAAAAAAGCCAAACCAAGAGTGCTGTGCCCTGGGTTCAAACCCCAGTACTGACACTCAAAAAAGTCTATGCTTACCTAGACTTATATTTCTAAATTAAATGGAACAAATGAGTCCATTTTTAGTTACACTCTCCCAAAGGAATGCCTTAAGGTTGAAAATTTTTAGGAGTTAAAATGTTAAATTTAATCCAGGAATTTGCCTAGTACTATAGTACTATGTAAATATTTGACAGAAAGGTGCAATAAAAATTTTGAACTGCTCAAAAATAGAACACCATGCTTGAGTTACGTCATCCAAGAAGAGATGAGACCATTTCCAAATGACACAAGTCTACTCACCAAGCACCAGTCTCACATATTACACATTTACTGTTAAGTGTATTTTTGATACGTGGGGATTTTCAGATTTAAGAAATTCTAAGTGTATACACACCAAATATAAACAAATTCTTCTAAGCCAGGTTTTCTGAGTGGAGATAAGAGTCTCATGGCCTTTCCTGTCTGTAATCCTAGTTAATGGGGAAACTGAGATCTGAGGATCTCGGTTCAAAGGTAGCTTGGCCAGGAAAGTCTGTGAGACTCATCTCCAATCAGCCACCAGAAAACTGGAAGCGGTGCTGTGGCTCAAGTGGTAGAGCACTGGCCTTGAGCTGAAGAGCTGAGGGACAGTGCCCAGGCCCCGAGTTCAAGCCAAAAGGAAGGAAGGAAGGAAGGGAGGGAAAGGAAGAAGTGAAAGGATGGAAATGAGGGAAAGAAGAGAGGGAGAGAGGGAGAAAGGGGAGGGGGAGGGGAGGGGAGGGTAGAGGGGAGGGGAGGGGAGGGGAGAGGAGAGGGAAATGTATTCATTAGCTGATATATGTAACTGTAAGCCTTCAGTACAACACCTTTATAATAATTTTTTTTAATTTTAAATAAAGGGCCATTTCTAAGGGGAATGTAAATCCAGGAAATCATTCCAATTCAAGCGTCAAATAATTTTAATGCAACTTTTGAAGCACTTCTAGGAATACCTAATATCGTGTACAGAGTTTTAGAAGTTGTTTGTATGGTGGGAACATACAACAAATAAAAAAGGCAAGTCTGCATTATTGCTACTACATTTTGAGAAATATCACCCAAATTCTTGTCTATGCATTTCCAAATCTTTTCACTTTCTTTATAGTCACATTGAACAGTACAAAAAGAAAGAAGAAAAAAAGAAAGAAGAGGGAGAGAAGGAGGAGGGTATAGGCTAGATGGTATAGGCTAGCACTTGTTATGCTAAATTTAAAAAAAATCAAAAAACAAGTCTAAAACACTTAAATGTAGTATTGGCATCTCCATGTATCTATAGAGACTTCTTTGGAGTATGGTACTAGGAAATAACTTCAACAATACCCTTGCTTAACACATATTTCTATGTGATTACAGAATTTTAGGTGCTCTGTAATAGAGATGTCTGCAATTCTGTATCAAAGTCAAACATTTATCAGTCTATTGAAATTATGATAATGTATTTCTATAGAAAAAGCCACACACATAATTATCACTAATCTAGTCAGTAAGAAAAGGAATAGACAACCTTTTAAAAACACTTCTGAAAAAATTCTCAACCAAAACAAAAATATCAACCTTTTCTTTTAACTCTGACTATATCTACTTGTTCCCTAAATAGTATGGCCAAAGAACCTATGACAGTGTCAAACAGTGTATAATCCATTTCATCAACGACCTTTAAACCAGATTGAGGAAAACACTACTTCAGTAAAGAATACTAACAAAAGCAGGTAAACTGTTTAAATGTAGCACAGGAAAACAATGATCCTGTATGCGCTTCATTTCATTGTGGTTGTTTGTTAAGACTGTATTTTTAATGATACTAACCAAAGTTAAGCAAGCATATCTATAAGCACTGGTAGTCAATTAATGTATTCTAAGTAAACTTTCCGTTTCTTTGGCATTATCACACATATAACTAAAAACAGGAAAAAAAATCATTGTAATGACTATGTAGAAGAAAAAAATCAAAGTTTTATATTTTTACCTGGCCTTGGTACAGGCTGGGCTGCAGGAGTTTGAGTCTTACGGGCAGATGCACCTTCCTAGTAAAAAAAAATAACCGTAACCATGTATGACAGCACAGTTCCTTTACATAATAGTTAAACATCTAAGTATTGCCAAGAAATCCTTCACTGCTCCCATTCAATCATTCTTTTAAACCATAATAATCGAAGATGTAAAATAACTAAATAAAACTATCTTTAGCAGGGCACCGGTGGGTCACGCCTGTAATCCTAGCTACTCAGGAGGCTGAGATCTGAGGATTGAGGTTCAAAGCCAGCCCAGGCAAGAAAGTCTGTGAGACTCTTATCACCAATAAACCACTAGAAAACCAGAAGTGGTGCTATGGCTCAAGCGGTAGAGGGCTCGCCTTGAGCTGAAGAGCTCAGAGACAGTGCCCAAGCCCAGAGTTCAAGCCCCACGACCGACCAAAAACAAAACAAAACTATCTTTAATATAGTCCTGAAGTAGAGCAATAAAAATCCTTAGTGGAGGGGCTGGGAAGGTGGCTCAGTGGTAGAGCGCTTGTCTTGCATGCACGAGGCCCTGGGTTTGATTCCTCAGCACCACATAAGCAGAAAAAGCGAGAAGTGGCACTGTGGCTCAAAGTGGTAGAGCGCTAGCCTTGAGCTGAAGAGCTGAGGGACAGCGCCCAGGCCCAGAGTTCAGGCCCCATGACCCGCAAAAAAAAAAAAATCCTTAGTGGAAAATAAATTTAAATCGTTACCATAGAAAAGGCACTATGAGCATGTAGTACTTTTTAATGATTTGCTTAATTGCTGACCACTTTAATACCTGCTTTAAAATCAAGTCAATTTTTTTTCATCTAAAGAGTTCCAAAAATAGAATAAAATAAAATAAAGAGTCCCGAAATGAATAAATGATAAAAAAAATCTCATGTTAGCAAGATATAAGCAATATTATTTGAAAGTCCATTTAAAAAAGATACAAACATTTCCAATAAGTACCTTTAAAATTGGATAAGATTTGTTGTATTTGAATTATTAGCAAATAAGAATACCTTAAAAACTTAACAGCAAATCTCAACTAATGACTAAGCAGGTAACATGTACAGAGAAATAAGCTCCAGGTGAATGAATGAATGAATTATATACTCAGGAACAGATGCCTCCAAAGTGCCTGCAATCACTGGCAAGCAAACCCACGATTCATGGAGAAAACTCAGCACAGCGGACTGAGTGAAGATACAATGCCGGAAGAGGTAGAATGGTAGCAATGTCTTTAATATCGACCATCTTTGTTTAATGTTCTTTCTGAAAGGTACATTTCACCCCTAACCATTCATTAAACACCCTGAACCTTATCACTCTCCACACCCTGCATAACCCTCTTTTACCACTGTCAATCACATCAGATTTTTATCAAATAGATAAATGTATTGAAATCTCAAGTTGTCTGAGTCACCAGAGTATAATTCTGCTTAATTTTTGAGAGAAGAAAGAGGGAAAAGCCGGGTGCTGGTGGCTCATGCCTGTAATCCTAGCTACTCAAGGGGCTGAGATCTGAGGATGATAGTTCAAAGCCAGCTCTGGCAGGAAAGTCTGTGATTCTTATTTCTAATAAACCACCAGAAAACTGGAAGTGGCACTGTGGCTCAAGTGGTAGAGCACTCACCTTGAGCTGAAGAGCTCAGGGACAGCACCTAGGCCCAGATTTCAAGCCCCACGACCAACAAAAAAAAGAAAGCCAGAAACAAGACAGAAAACTGACATGACCACAGACTACTGATTTAAGTGAGGAAATTAGGAAGATTTCTGTGGATAATCATGCCGTTGGTCAATGACCATCCAGCTACAAAAGCACATTCCATCATCAGGTAAAGGACAGTCCAGTCCAGCCCCACCCCGTGCTCTACTCCAGGCCACAGCATCACACCCACACCCGCTCGCAGGAGACAACAGGGCCGCCATCGGGCATTTGTGTTTTCAAAACATTCGCACTAGGAGAAAAACCTCTACCCAGTTGGAGGAGGAAAGTGTCAGCACCCATTCAGTAACACAGGCGGGCAGGCGGGCTGGAGCATGGGGCTGGGTGGGAGGAGAGGCCCAGGGGGAGGGGGAGGAGGGAGGGGAAGAAGGAAGAGGGGAGGGGGAAGAGGTGGGGGCACCCTGGAGGCTCACACCTGTAATCCTAGCTATTCAGGAGGCTGAGATCTGAGGATCACGGTTCAAAGCCAGTCTGGGCAGAAAAGTCTGTGAGATTTTTTTTTTTTTTTGGATCCGGTCGTGGGGCCTGAACTCTGGGCCTGGGCGCTGTCCCTCAGCTCTTCAGCTCAAGGCAAGTGCTCTACCACTTGAGCCACAGCGCCACTTCTGGCTTTTTTTTTCATTTTGCTTATGTGGTGCTGAGGAATCGAACTCAGGGCCTCATGCATGCAAGGCAAGCGCTCTACCACTGAGCCACCTTCCCAGCCCAAGTCTGTGAGATTTTTATCTCAAATAAGCTACTCAGAAAAAGTTGTAAGTGGTGCTGTGGCTCAAGTGGTAGAGCACTAGCCTTGAGCACAGAAACTCAGGGACAGTTCCCAGGCCCTGAGTTCAAGCCCCAGCACAGACAAAAACTAAAACAAAATGAAAACTTATTCCTAAAGATATAAACAAAATCCAAGTGCCTGTGCAGCGTGCTTGCTGGGGGTGTCTACTCTGAGCACAGCCTTCCCCTTTGCTCAGAAGTGTGAGCCACCTGCACTAAACTTATCTAGCCACATTTTCTCCCCTGAAAGTCTGAAAAGCCACGCTGAAATGGAGTAATCTGAACTGGAGTCTTGGTTTGGGGGATGCCTGTGCACAGGAAGGACCAGAGAACGAGTAGACAGACGTAGAAAACGACAAGTAATCATGTAACATTACAGAGAAACAAGGCAAGCTTCCTTGATTTCTGACAGCTTTCCAGTTTCTCAATGTATTCTTTTAAAGGCCAAGATACAATTCTTGGCTTGAGGTATGATAGTGGATATATTTTTCTTTAACCAAATAGAGTGGTTTTCTGTTACCTGAAAGACAATTAAAAGTACTGTAATCTCAATGGAAGAAAAATACTCTATTTCAATCCCTATCTATTCACAGTAATTAAAACTCTGACCCAGGAATACAATACTAATTTTATTTATAGTCACAGAAAAATTGGAATACACAGTGCTAAGCAGTAACATTACATTACAAAGAAGCAAATACTGATTAAAAACCTAAATTAATACCAGTTTTTCATTCATCATTCCAGAGTGTTTTCTTGGTTTGAAAACTAGTTCAACAGTAAATGCAACATACCATAAAAGAAACAAATACAAATAAACTTAAAAGACTGTTTTAAAAGACATAAGGGGATCATGAAAATAACCTCCTTAGTCATTAAACATATTCTAAAATATTTGGCAGGCTAGCACAGTATTTTACATGTGTCACCAAATCAGGTGTATATCCCTCTAGCAGGCAGTAAAAGAAAGACAACTAAGATGGTTAACTGTGCTGGACGCTGATGACCCAACCTTGAAATCCTACTCAGGAGGATAACATTTAAGGATCATGATTTGAAGTCAAAGACAAGCTAGGAAAGTCCAGGAGGCTCTTACCTCCAATTAGTAACCCAAAACCTACAAGTAGAGCCTGTGGCTCAAGTGATAGAACACTAACCTTAAGCACCAAAGCTCAGGGCCTGGGTGCTGTCCCTGAGCTCAAGTTCCAGGACTAGTACTCTCACCCCACCCAGCCCCCCCAAAAAACTAGAGGTGAACAAACTTGGTAAGTGCCCCCCTGCAATCCACAGTGCACCTGGATAGAACAAAGGGCAGGCTGAGACAGCACTCCCTGTATTCTAGCGGAGAGCCACTTCCACGGCTGCACGGAAGTCACCCTGCTTCAGCTCGGCGTGCTCAGGCCTTCGGGGCTCCTGGGTCTGCACCAGCCAGCCTGTAGACCCTGTGCTTCTGAACCAGTGTTTTAAAATAATTCAAAATACAGAGCAGTGGGTGAGAATCACTGATCCGAACTATTCCAAACTCTTGTAAGGCTTTCTGAAAGTGTTTCTATTACCTCATGTGACAAGTTCATCATCAAATTCAGGCACATGAAAAATAGAGGGTAACATTAATCTTCAGAGTACGAACTCGTTTAGGCTTAGGCCTTATCCCTAGGACTTCTCATTATGGACATATAAACATTCCAAAATCTAAAATCTGAAAAACTTCTGAGTACGAGCTGTCAAGGGAAAAACTAAAAATGGGATGGCACTGGTTCAGAGCCCTTAAAACTGGAGTTGGTAAACACATGTTGATTACATCTCAGGCATATCCTCAACTGCATCTTTAAACTGGGCTGCTAATTGGCAGATGTAAACCAGTCCTTGAAACATTGTTAACTTCTGTGACCAGTACAATGGATCCCTTACCCTAAATTACCCTGAGACTCAGATGACCCCAATCCCTCCAATCCCTTTCTTTTCCTTTTTTCTTTCCTTTTTTTCGGTCAGTTGGGGGCTTGAACTCTGGGCCTGGGCGCTGTCCCTCAGCTCTTCAGCTCAAGGCTAATGCTCTACCACTTGAGCCACAGCGCCACTTCCAGTTTTTGGACTGGTTTACTGGAGATCAGAATCTCATGGACTTTCCTGCCCAGGCTGGCTTTGGGCTGGTTTTGAACCACGTTCCTCAGATCTCAGCCTCGTGAGAAGCTAGGATTACAGGCATGAGCCACCTGTGCCCAGCTGGTTGTGGATTTTGTTTTTGTTTTTGTGCTGGTCCTGGGACTTGAAATCAGATCTGAGCATTGTCCCTAGACTTTTCCACTCAAGGATAGTGCTCTGCCTAATTGAGTCATACCTCCATTTTGAGCTTTTTGGTGATTAACTGGAGATAAAATTCTAACACTTTCCTCCTGGGCTGTCTTTGAACCATGACCATGAGATGTCAGCTTCCTGAGTGGCTAGGATTACTAGTGTAAGCACTGGCACGATGTCCCAATCCCTTTCTAAGCAAAATCCCTTTCACCTCTACTAATGCCTAACGCATGAGCCAATCTATGGCTAAACTCATTAAAATCCAAAAAGAAGAAAAGGAAAAAATACAACTAACATTTTAGACAACATTTGGAGCACTTTTCAAGATTACCTGAACCTGTGTTTTCCCACACCTCAATACTAGTTAGCTCCAAATAAATGTGATTTTCTTTGTTCTCAACTAGGTTAATTTTATTCTCAATAAAATCTACAATGCACTAACATGGCTTGTCACATAAGTGATAAACATATAGATGTTGTTGGCTTATTTTCTATGGAGAATGTAGACTAATACAGCAATTAAAATTGAACCACAAGAAAGTAAGAGCTAGAGTCTGTAATAATTAATATCAGCCAGCAGTAAAAACAAAGGGGGGGGGGACATACTTTACTCAATGGTATAGATCTGCTTAGCATGCTTCATATCCTGGGTTCCACAGGGTAGGGATGGGAGGGGGCAGGGCTGCTGAGGGGAAGGAGGAAAAGAGAGTAAGACAAATGCACACTCTTAAAAGAGACATGTTGAAAGCATGTCTCTTATCTAGTGACTGAAAACTTTCATCCACATGAGTGAACATGAAATGTCACAGAAATGCAATTCGCACCAACGGCTCACACCTGTAATCCTAGCTACTCAGAAAGCTGAAATTGGAGGATACTATTTCGAAGCCAGCCTAGGCAGGGAAGTCCATTTGAGTCTTGTCTCCAATTAATCACCCAAGAAAGTGTAAAGTGGAGTTGTGGCTCAAGAGGTAGTGTGCTAGCTTAAGCAAAAAATGCTCAGGGTTAGTGGGACAGTGCCCAAGCCTAGAGTTCAAGCTCAGGACTGGCGGGAGGGAGGGAGGAGGGAGGGGGGAGGGAGGGAGGGAAAAAAGAGAAGAGAGAAAGAAAACTAATTAGAAACAGTACCAAGCATGTGTATTGATCTCCTTCAATATCAAGGTCTTCTGGACAAATGATCATTCTTTTTTCCCCCTTTGGTGTATGCACTAGAGCCTGAACTCACTCCGGCCTTGTGCTCCTGCTTGGCTTTTTCACTCAAAGTTAGACAGAGCTCCACCGCTTGAGTCACAATACTTCCAAACAATTCTTTTGCAGAGCTCACTGAGGATTAATCAGGGGATTATCTTTCTTCATTGAAAACAGGATTATTTTATGTTTATAGTAGCATGGCTAAGGAAGAAGGTCCACTGAATCATTTGAGTAGCTTAATGGGTCCAAATTCATAATGGAGCTAGCAGGCAGTACTAACGAAGCTAAAGAAACCTGATATACAAATCTTGAGTTCCCAGTTCTAGCCTTGCCTTTGCCATATGAAATAGGACCTTTAGGAAAATATTGACCTCACAGGAACTTAGTTACTTACCGTATTTGTAAAAGGAAGACAACAGCTTTTGCAAAGGTTAAGTTCTGCTCCGATTCCATTTTTAATGTTCTTAATAGATTAAAACTTAAAGACATATCTAATGTGGTTTACTTCAATGACAGTAAGATTAAAGTCACATAAAATTTTTGATGTGAATAAAAATGCAATGTTCTCCTGCTTAATTAGCTCTGTATACTAAAGGGTATGTGCTTCAAATTGTTTTTCTGCTATATATAAAACCCCTTTTTGCCTGCTTTGCAAAATTTCTTTATATTAATGACTCCATACCTAATCAGTCCATAAACAGTCACACTGGAGATGGTCATATGAATTTAGAATCAAGCAAGCTAGCTGCTTCCTCCTTTCTTCAAAAAAGGCCTTTGAAAAAAATATTCTATTTACTTACTACTAAAACTTGATTTCCCTTCTTATCTACTGTAACTATTTTGGTAAGAAACTTGCTCTCTGATACTAATGAATTCTGGCTATGACTCTTTAAGAAGTCCTAAAGGGATGTTGACACCTGAATTTTCGTTGCTATATACACGTTGTTGTACACTAGTAATGTTAAAATAAATAAATAAAACTAGCAATGTGTTGGGTCTGAATAAAAATAAAACGGCAAACACTGACACTTGTGGTCATTCTGAGATTGCCGATCTGCAGTTGGGCTAGTTCATCCTTCATGAGTTCAAAGAAAAGTAAAAGTGGTTCACACATCATTAATGGACTTCATGGAGAAATTTTAAACTTTCAAGAAATATTTAATTTTTCTTTAAAAAGCAACAAATATTTACTAAAATTAAACAACCAAAAATAGGTCATTCATCCAAATCTTTCATATGATGAAAAAACTACATCTGTTTGTGGGTGCATACCCACATCAAGACCTCACTCAGCATGCTTGCCCACAACTGGCACTCTGCCAGACCTATAATCTTGTACTTCACTGGTTAATTGGAGATGGAATCTCTCTTTTCTGCTAGAGAAGGCTTAGAACTTAACCTGCCAGAATTACAGAAATGAGTTGCTAGGGTTACAGGCGTGAGCCACTAGGACCCTTCAGATGACATTTAGTTTTAAATAAAAGGAGTATAAACTCCAAATATTACTATGCAAAATTATCTAGAGGCCTCCACAATTGAAGCATCTAAGTACCATGTCAAATTGCAGTTTTCAGAGTAGTATGGTGCAGATTACATCTGACCCAAAATATTAAGAATCTTAACAATGAAAAGATAGCTAGTTCTGATGAGTATCAACTAAAATATGCCTTAGATTTCAGTACCAATGACTCTTACATAGGAGTAGAAACCAATGGAGGGAGGAGTAGATTATGTCTCTCTTGTGATATTGTTCAAGGCCATCTTCTGTTGCTTGGTGTTTGGTATGTTCTCCCCTTCAAGTTTCTTTTGCCAAGGACATACAGCTGAATCTGAGTTGTACTCAATCTAACTAGATGGTGCCCAATTTGAAGTTTACATCTGATCGATCACCTTAATAACCATTCAAAAACTATTAACTACATGAATAAAGGAATAATTATTTCTAAACACAACACAAACTTGGAACTGAAGATATCAATCACAAAGTTCCTTCAAGGCGCCCCTCCAGGGTGACATCCATCAAGAAAAGTCAAAGCTATGGGACTATGTTTCTGGTTTATAACATTTTCTTTCTCTCTCATAGTAATCTTTCTATTATTTCTAGAAAAGTCACATAATAAATACTAGGATAAAATATAATTAAAATCTTTATTCATTTGAAATAATACTTTGTAGAGACAAGTGAGATGAAAAATACATGTAACTATAAACATATAGGCAAAGCTCCACAATTATAGTTTCTGAGAGCTACTGTCCCTGAAGTATCAGGGGAAAACTGAGAATTTATTTAAAAAAAAAACAAAAAAAACAATCTGTCACTGTGTTCACAGAAAAACAAGAAACAAGTTACCAAAATACTCAGGAGACTAGCCACACTAAGTAGGAATTCCAAGTGTCTAATACAAAATCTGTTTGTGGCAACTGACTAGACCATCTTGAAATAGCAGGGTAAGTAAACATAACTGGGACAAATCTCATCACCAAGAAGATGTTTTCATAAAAGTATACCACATTATATCATTTTGTTGAATTTTATGATACATGTACTTCTAAAAAAAAAATACAAAACAGTTGATACTGAAAAGCAATTGAAAGTCAACTTTTCTGCCTTTAAGAACAGTAAGGAACCACAGAGAACAAAGTCAGTAAACTGTCACACTATGTGTGGAGCGATCCATGACAGACCATTGACATAAACAGAGGAGAAAAACCTAGGCTACAGATGGAAGATAAAAGCATCGATGAATATTAACCCACACCTTATCAAAATCAGAGCGGTTAAAAGAAAAAACATCTTCAAGACCAAGCATTCACTGAAGAGGTTAACTTAGTCCAGCGTATATTAACAAAGCTGGTATTTGTTATACCTTACAGAAGCGTGTAAGACACAGGACAGCCACCATCTAAGACGGAAAATATTTAGAAAGCCTATGCTTTGTTTTTAAAGGGAATTAAACTGTAAGAAAACCATACTCTCCATTTCATAATCATTCCATTTTCATACGATCCACTCATCACTACACTTGTACTGAATATATAGGATCTGTCACACAGAAGCAAAATCTCTAAGCCTCTCCCTACCTTAGGCTTTTAGTCAAAATGAATGCAAACAATCACGTGGGATTCAGCCAAGCAGTGACGTTCAATTCTGCTCTGTCAGAGAGAGCATCTGTCAAGCCCACATTTAAACTGCTGCCTGCCTGTGCGGCAGCTGAGGAAGCGTGGATTTCATATTACAGCCTAAAACCCCCGTGAAACTGCTCAAAAATCCTTCCTGCAGCTGCCAGGCAACAGCGAAAGGAGAGGAAAACCCTGCTCTGTCCCCACACACCCGGAGCTCCAGGTTCGGGCTCTGCTGCTTCACAGTGCAGCTCAGTGTTATCACTAGAAATATGGATACTGAGAAGAGAACACAGCACTGCATTGTCCAGCCAGGAAAACAGCAGATGTAAAAAGCTTCAATGCATCAACTGTCGGAAAGAGTCAACAGTGCTCCAAATAGAACGGCCAGCTCCGGCTCTTTTGTTTAACAAAGGAGAGAGAAAATGAAAGAAAGGGAAAATCTCAGAAGACGCGGACCCATATGAACCAGGAGGATAACTGGAAGACACACAGACAGATGGACACTGGACACTGGAAAGCGACCGTGGCTGGGGGATGTGCGCATGTTCCATAGCATCTTTCTGCCAAAAGTGTGTTCAGTGGCATAATCCTCTCCACACTAACGGCCTGACCAAGGAAGGTATGTCGCTATCTTGTGTGTGATGCTGGTTTAAATGTGTTGCCTTTGTGTGGCCCTGGAGGCACTGAGAGTTGATAAGCAAGTTCATACAGCTCACTGCCCTTGAAACTATTAAAGGATTCCTAAATATACGATTTTAAAATCTGTTTTGTTCAGAAAACAAGCTGTCACTGCTTTCTTCAGCTAATATGTAGCTTGAAGTAGCTCTGGAATATCAACATAGGAGAGAAAAAATAATAATAACTAGTTATAAATAAAGAATTATCCGAGAAAATAAACTTAAAGTCTGTAGCCCTTTACAGTAAACATAGCAATCCTCTATTAAATTAGGTCAAATTGAATACTGATCTAGTAAATTAAAGAGCACTCTTGAAAATGGCTATCAAGAGACAATGCAGTGAAATTACATTAAGCAGTATCAAGCATGGTCTTTGCGTTAGAAGCTTGGCTGAGAAGTCCTTTTAAAACAAAATCTTAATAGCTCATAGAAATGATTTCCTTCCTCTAACATCCACCTCCCCAAATAAAGGAAATAGGTAATAAACACAATCTAAACACAATCTAAGAACAGGACAACAAACCGTAGGTATTACTGAGCTACAGGATCACATAGGTTGTATGAGTTTATGCACAGCATAATACCACAGTGGTCACATGTTATTATAGATCCACGAACACAACTTTAAACAAAGACATGTCAATAGTGTTGTTTTTGTTAAAAAAAAAAAAAAAAAAAAAAAATACCCTATTTGAAACAGTACACTTTCAGTTTAGGTAACAGACTTATTCTCAATGATCAAATCTAAGATTATTTCCTAAGATCATCTTAAAAGTAAAATTATAACATAAAAAGATACTTTAGACATTAAAAAAAATCCACTAACAGCATTACAAGATCAAACAATTCATATAAATGTAGCTAATGTCTTCTAGGCTATATTACCATGCAGTAGTAAACTGCTGCCATTTATGTGTATACAGGACAAAGATAAATCAAACTATTTTAGCAACAATACTCATCAAAATTGCAACTCAGGACTCAAGAAGTCAGGTACAATTTTCCAAATCTATCCAATCTTGGTTTTTCCCAGCTTCGTACAATATATTACCCTATTATTTAAATAACTGCAAAAGGCAAACATTTTTGACAGGCAACCATTGTATTCCAAAATTAAGACTAAACAAATTCAATATTAATTCTTAATCATAACCACAAATGGTTATCTTAATAAAATTTAAAATCATGAATAAAAATATAGTTATAAAAATCAAGTCCCTCTTGGTACTTTGATCAATGTTATAGTCACCAATTAAGCAGTTTTACAAGCTAGATATTTCAAAATGCAAGTTCAGAAGTTTTTCTATAGAAGCAGCACTTACATCTAGACCTTTCCACCAAACTAAATACATTCAGTTTTGAAAGTCAAATGACTAAAACTCTGTGTATGTGAGAGAGAACCACATTTTATGACAGCATGCTTACAAACTTCATAAGACATAAGTACATATTTATATTTTGAAATTAGAGATAAATGATAACTATTTCTAGTCTAAAAATATAAAGTGCAAAACTGCTATTTTTGTATACCAAGATACTTAACTTTTATGTCTTCTCACTTGGCAAGAATTAAAATACAACAGGCATTAACTAGAGAGTAAGTTTATCATTTAGTTAAAGGAGAAATAGTAACTTCAATTTTGTTTTCTCTTTAACAGTAAAATTATGGTAAATACCTGAAAACTTGTAACAAAAAATTTTGAAGGCCAGAGTTTCACATGAGTTTCATTTTATCAATGGGAGATTAACATATAGGCTTATGTGGATTTCAAGCCTCTTCAGATTAATATTAATAAAATCACAACTATCATGAATAAGACGTAACACCATGTTAATCACATGGTATTATAAAATTATATTAGAATCACAATTATACACTTATACTAGAGTACAATTTGCTGTTTTCTCTGCTGGGAAATACTTTGGAATTTATTAGTACTGTACTGCCTTCATTCACTTCTTCAGTCTTCTATTCATATCTGATCTTATATTTGTTGCTTCTTAAACAATGAATTTATACTTTTAGAAGACATACACACACAAAAAAACCTTAGCCAGGTTCTAAACACTACTATAACAACAGATAGCAAGCTGATAGATATAAATTATGTCTAGAATACTTGAAGCAGATCAAATAAACCTGTTTCTTTTCAATTTATATACATAGCCCTCATATGCTCGTCTCTTTATGAGGGAATGCCATTACTATTTGCAGGATATATCATTTTCTAATAAAAGCTTTAAAATAATTTCCTAGACAGAATGGTCAAGTATTTGTAAGTATAAATAGGAAAATACAGTTTCTAAATCAAAATACTCAGCTCTAATATTTTCAGCTTACTCATAGCAGAACAGAAATTTTTGTTGATACAGAGACTATCCTTGGTTTTTATTACAGCAATGTGATATTAAAATTCTTAAGTAAACTAATGAATAGTGAACTAATTTTTTAAAAATTCCAAATTATGAAAAAAGGATTGTACACATTTATCAAAACTTTTTGGTAATTTTTATTTGATGTTATAATTGCTAAAAGCAAATTTAATTTCAGAAACTAGAAATTATCAAATGCTGGTGTCTGCTGTTACACTTTAGAGATTTATTCAAATTCCTACCTACTTGCTCCTCCTAGTGGCTACTGCCAGAATAGCATTTTCATTCATATACATCCAACACTCAATATTTTCAAGGTGCCTATCATTATGCATGAGAATTTTATTTTACAATAATTCAGTGATACCGGGATTCACATGCTATTACTGCCTAAAATAATTCATAGCACAGATAAATATTTCATTGAGCATGGGTCAGTATCACAGACTAAACCCATTCATTTACATGAATAATTTCAAATAAACAAATGTTCCCAATTAAAACCTTACTAGTTTTCTTTTGCTTAAAGAAATAATATTCAGGAAGAAATTCAAAATTAAAAGTACACACTCTTTAGTATCCTATCCCAAAAGTTTGTTTCTCTTCCTTTCATGCAATTCAATTCCAGTTCATCTATCTGTATTTTCCCCCACTACCCAAATCCTTGGGCCAGAAAAATCTAAGAATTCAGAGAAAGAAACTGAAAATAAACAAGTTTATGCTGTACACTGAAAAGGCTTTTTTTTAGTATCTGACATCATGAACCTCTCATTCTGACATTTCTTTTTTTTTTATTAATTAAGCAGTTGTACAAAGGAGTTGCCATTTCTGACCTGCTAATTTGTTTTTAATATAGGGGGCTTTAAGTGTTAGCCTACAAGAAGACTAAAAATTAACAAACCCTCTGCATCCAAATACAACTTAACTCAAGAATGTTTTAAAATGTATTTTGTGGAAATTTGATTTTTAAAAACCATAGGTAACTAAAGATACTTGCTTGTTGTCTTTTAAAGTCAACCTTAAAATGCAAGGACAATAACCTTTATATACTTCCTATCTGAAGTGGAAGGTTAAATTAGCAGAGTACTCAAAACTGTTAATCATTTATAACTGTCTAAAAATCCTGCCCTGAAGTTACTGGACCCTGAAATTCATTTTGACAGGTGCATCTTCTCATTGACTTCCTCAGCACAGTGGGGGCCAATGGAAGCATGCCCAGCAGTGTACTGTGACTAACAGAACTCTGCTATAATCAACCTTGCACCGTCTGTCCCATGACTGTTACATGACCATTTTACAAAAAAGGCCGCTGACAGAGCACCACACCATCAATGGTATGTCAAATCCATTTTAATTAATGTCAATAAATTTTCCTTCTGCTCAAGGCCTTCTTACACGGCCTCTGTCAGGAAGCTAGTAACATTTTTCTTTTCTACACACATACAACCTTTAAAGTTTTAACCTAGATCAAAGATACAAATGACCAGAGCTACTGAAACAATGACATAATTAGAAGAAAAAAAAAATCTATCGCCTTCCTGCTCATCATGCCAACCCCCGCCCCAAAAAAAAGGAAGAAAGAAATTAATCCTGTTCTCAGTGATGCCACTGCATTGCCAAAAGGAAGCAAATCACAGGCTCTGCTTCTGGGCTAGCCTATGTTCACAGCTTTAAAACTTCTTCCTATTTGCCTTAATTGTATTAGTATCCAGAGCCCCCTTCAGCCCATTTTGAGAGCTATGGCACTTCTAAACCGTTATGCTTCGTCTTTACAGAATGACTGCCAGGGACACGTGGCTGAACTGAAAACAGATGACAAAGAGCAGCACTGACTCAGGAGAAAAGCAGTATTTGGGGCCACCGATACCTCACACACCATTACTGGGTTATTTACAACATGCTTCAGTGGAGAAGACGGCACTGCTGCTTTGCAAAGATGACCTGGAATGCTAAGAGGTCTCTGTTCCGAACCCATCTTATCGGGGTACTTTCCCTGGTGTTTCTTTTTGCTATGTTTTTGTTTTTCAGCCATCATGACTGGCTGCCAGGGAGAGCTGGATTCAAAGAAAATCCTGTGACATACAGTTTTCGAGGATTTCGTTCCACAAAGAGTGAGACAAACCACAGCTCTCTTCGAAACATTTGGAAAGAAACAGTCCCTCAGACTCTGAGACCCCAAACTGTAACTAACTCCAATGACACAGACCAGACACCACAAGGAGTTACAGGACTGGAGAACACACTCAGTGCCAATGGGAGTATTTACACTGAAAAGGGCACTAGGCATCCAAATGCTTATCACTTCAAATATATCATCAATGAGCCTGAAAAATGCCGGGACAAAAGTCCTTTCCTAATACTGCTAATAGCTGCAGAGCCTGGACAAATAGAAGCTAGAAGAGCGATTCGGCACACTTGGGGAAATGAAAGTCTAGCACCTGGTATCCAAATAACACGCATTTTTTTGTTGGGCCTAAGCATTAAGCTAAACGACTACGTTCAACATGCAATATTGGAAGAAAGCAGACAGTATCATGATATAATTCAACAGGAATACTTAGACACATACTACAACTTGACTATTAAAACATTAATGGGCATGAACTGGGTTGCAACATACTGTCCACATATTCCTTATGTCATGAAAACTGACAGTGACATGTTTGTCAACACTGAATACTTGATCCACAAGTTGCTGAAGCCAGACCTGCCTCCACGGCACAACTACTTCACTGGGTACCTCATGAGAGGCTATGCGCCCAACCGAAACAAAGACAGCAAGTGGTACATGCCACCAGACCTCTACCCAAGTGAGCGCTATCCTGTCTTCTGTTCCGGAACTGGTTATGTTTTTTCTGGAGATCTAGCAGAAAAGATATTTAAAGTTTCTTTAGGTATCCGTCGTTTGCATCTGGAAGACGTGTATGTAGGGATCTGTCTGGCTAAGTTAAGAATTGATCCTGTGCCCCCGCCCAATGAGTTTGTGTTCAATCACTGGCGAGTTTCTTATTCAAGCTGTAAATACAGCCACCTAATTACCTCTCATCAGTTCCAGCCTAGTGAACTGATAAAATACTGGAATCATTTACAACAAAATAAGCACAATGCCTGTGCCAATGCAGCAAAGGAGAAAGCAGGCAGGTATCGTCACCGTAAATTACACTAAAAAAGAAGATTGTTGGCTCTAGTGTACAATCTGTAAATAGTGTTAAAAAGCATGTATAGTAAAAAAAAAAAATCGTTGACATCTATAGGACAAGTTTTAGTTAACATTTCACCACATAAAAGAATGATTTTATTTCTGAAGGTAATTCTTAATACTGCAATGTTATATGATTTTTTAAGTACCCCAAAAGAATCTATTTTAAAAAATGTATAAGGGGATTATGTGTATTAACATGCAATAACAAGCATGCATCATACATCAATGGGTCAAGTCTTATATTGGGGCCAATAAAATGTATCTGCATACATTTTCCATAAAAGTTTTCATTTAAAAAAATGAAAAGTCAAAAGACTTCATTTTAGATTTGACTTCTCATCTGAATATAAAAAATAAATGTAAATAAAACACTATTATCAATTTTAAGGAAACTTTGTAATTGTGTAAAGGACAAATTTTCAGACCTATACTAGAGTTCTAAAGACTATATTCATGAATTAAGATTTAGTTGAGTTATTCCAAAAACTCATTCAGAAAGTTCAGATGTTTTATCAATGCAGTTCTCATCTAAGGATTTACTTTTTTAAAGTAATTGAGATGCTCAATTTAATATACATTTTGGGACAGTTATTTTGACATAACATGATTAAATGTGAAAAAGTCTCAGGCTCAAATTTTTATTTTGAAAAGTTATTAAATGCTTCAAAACAGATAGATTTTCTCTGATTGGTACTAAGAGTAATTCAATGTTAGTAATTCAATGTTATTTGATTAGATTGAATGCTGCACTCTTCAAGTATACCACTATTTAACTTCAACTCCACCTGATTTCACGTATGTTTGTAAAACCCAATCATGTTCCTCAAATAGGAGAACATAATCACTTAAAAGGCACCAAGAAGATGCACTGTTGAAGAAAGAATGCAGTAGCAGTTTCATGCAATACATTTTGACACATCTAATAAACTGCAACATGCAGGAAAGCTTCTTCACTGGCAACAGGTGTGCACGAGCCGTACTTATTTTATGGCACCTATTTCTGAGTCCCAAGTTTACAAGCCTACATTTGGTAGATGACAAATATTCTACATCACCAATTAAAAACTTCCAGGGAAGGTTAGGGATAAGAGTTAAAAATGTTTGATGAGCACTTGATTCTTGGAAGAGCAATGTATACAATGCACTTTTATCAAGTTTTTAATAAAAAGGTTAAACAGAAGAGCCTTCATTGAGTGTCATGATACAAATACTTTCACAATTTGTTTGGCTGCATTATGAATTTTACAATCAAGACATACTAACCCATTAACTTTAAAAAAGTATTTTTATCCCCCATAAGGACATATATTTCTCAAACTTAAGTCAGGATGTTTCTTATCTAAATTCTAGTAACAATCATTTTTATCCTTGATTGCATTATGAAAGGATAAACAACCAAAATAGCTTAAAATCATGAAAACTGTTCAAGTTTCTACTATTTAATACGCTGATTCCTACTTCTATTTACCTCTTATTTTCTAATCGGTAGCCTAAAGTGTTCTATTCTACATGAAGTAATTCCAAGTAAGTTGTGAAACACTCCCAACTACTGATTCAAGCCTATTTTTCGTTTATGTTATATACTGCAGAATGACCAACATTACTAAGCAAAACTCATACATACAAGGATAACCCAGTCAGATCGATACTTATTGAAAATCAGAAGACTATCAGGGCAGAGAAATTCCCTCTCATTTATACCTCAGAATTTTTTTTTAAAAAAAGGGTGGGTGGAATGTGTGTGAGTGTACACAGATGTGTGTGTTCAGGTGTATAACCACAAACGCTATTTGTACAAATTATGATCATAGTAAGTATAGAATCTTTTAAGAACAATATTTTCTTCTGCAAAAATTCAGGTTTAAGACTTAAAAAATGTATTTCAAAAATAAGCACAGCAAAAAAAAGCTGGAGATGTGGCGCAAGCAGAGTCTAGCTAAGCACAAGGTCCTGAGTTCAAATCTCAATAACTTTTACCGTAAGTTAAAAAGCAGACACGAAAAACAGACTTCTTAGCAGACATTTAAATTTCTTTTTCGGGTATAAATTTAAAATTATTTCTATGTTCCTAATAATTCCACCTTGAAAAATGATGATAATGTGCTGACATTCTGAGTGCTAGAATGGCATTAGAGTAGTGAAGTTTCTTAGTAAATCCCAAAATCTGTATTTTGCAGGGTGGTGGTGATACCTATAATCCTTGCACTTAGGAGGCTAAAATAATACCAAGCTCAAGGGCAGCCTGAGCTACAAAAGTATATCCTGTCTCTCAAAAAAAAAATTTATTTTAGCTAAAGTAAATAATCTACAATTATTTATTATGACACTTTACTCTCTACTATTTGCAAGTTAACTGTTTGAGCTGAGAAAGCTAATATTTAAGTATATTACCAATAGTTAACTGTGTTTTATTTATCCAAGTACTATGTAATTTTTGTATGCATAAAAATATAATTTTAAATGACAACACTGGATAAAGAAAAAGATTACAAAATCAACTGTGTGTGTTATGCTCGGAATGTGAATAGATATTTTAGAAGGAAAATACCAAAACTTTGTTTACAATGTTAGTTTAATAAGATTAGATATAATGAAATCCTAAATCATCTCAATAATTCACACTTCTCATCTCTTTTTTGTACATGGAACAATCATATGTTCTAACCTAGAACCTTATTTATATCTATTTCCAAGGAATTCTACAAAACTAATACCAACAACCACAGAAAAACTACTTATTAACTATGCAAGCAGGGTACTTGTTAGTATGTTACATATAGTATTTCATATAATCTTCATAGAAACATTAAGAGACAAGCAAGACTCACCCAAGAAGTTAAAGCAAAGCTGGTAAAAAAAAGAGATTTGATGGGGGGAGAGGAGGGAGGGTGCTGGGAAGGTGGTTCAGTGGTAGAGCACTTGCCTTGCATGCCTGAGGCCCTGGGTTCAATTCCTCAGCACCACATAAGCAAAAAGAAAAAAGCCAAAAGTGGCACTGTGGCTCAAGTGGTAGAGCACCAGCATTGAGCTTAAGAGCTCAGGGACAGCACCCAGGCCCAGAGTTCAGGCCCCACGACCAGACTCCACCCCCCCCCCAAAAAAAAGACATTTGAGGGAAGACATTTCAAAGATCATGCTGTTAACCATTCCACTGTTCTACGTAATATCTCACAGGTGATGCTCTGAGATGGTCTGCAAAGCTAATAAGCACATGGGCCTGCTCCTCTATTCTCCCGTTCTCTGCTCCTTCTTCATTCTTTGCCAAGGACCTCCAAGTCTCATAGCTATTCGAACACTAGACTATGGAGGGGACGTGCAATTTCCTAATACTATTTTTTTTTTTTTGGATCCGGTCGTGGGGCCTGGGAGCTATCCCTCAGCTCTTCAGCTCAAGGCTAGCGCTCTATCACTTGAGCCACAGCACTACTTCCGGCTTTTTTCTCCTGCTTATGTGCTACTGAGGAATCGAACCCAGGGCCTTATGCTTGCAAGGCAAGTGCTCTACCACTGAGCCATCTTCCCAACCCACTAGTACTTTTCTCTAGTAGTTGAGGAGTGGTACCACAATCACTGAAAAATAATGACCGTTATCTCTTGCTCCTTTTGGCTCTGACATGCATCTGTAAATAGCTGGAAGTACTTGGAAAAGTATAAAAGGTGCTCCTTTTGAAGTACTATTGTTAGTTTCTTTTTCATAGACAAAACTAACAGTGCATTTGCCCACTACACTATTCAATCAGTTATTATTTGTGGTAAAGTGGTTTTGAAGCCAGATAGCTGGTCCAGTCAAAGTCCCCCCCCATCTCATGCTTACTGTGTGCCTAGAACATTTGAATACTTAACACAGACTCAAACAATGTTCTCTTACATACATTTCTAAATTGCATCATATAGATATTACTTGCAACAGACATTAGTAATATACATCAAATACTAAAGTGAGACACTGTGAACTTCATAAAGAAGCCTGTCACAGTAAACTCCACCAACACAAATCCACTCAAGGGCTGCAAGGACTGGACTGCTCTCACGATACAGAAAATGGCTTCTTTTCCCTTTACCATACAAATGGCTGAAACAGTACTGAAGCTAAAGTACCCACCTACCTCCACGTATTTACTACTCTATTTAAATTTCAAACTAGGGCTAGGAAGGTGGCTCAGTGGTAGAGCGCTTGCCTTAGCATGCCTGAGGCCCTGGGTTCAATTCCTCAGCACCACATAAGCAAAAAGAAAAAAAGCCGGAAGTGGCGCTGTGGTTCAAGTGGTAGAGCGCTAGCCTTGAGCTGAAGAGCTGAGAGACAGCACCCAGGCCCAGAGTTCAGGCCCCACGACCGGACCCATTAAATAACTAAATAAATAAATAAATAAATAAATAAATTTCAAACTAAATTTCACAGGTTTGGCATTTGAACCTAACTTTAGGATACTTAATAGAATTCTAAACCCTAAAAAGAGAAAATACCAATAACCAATAGGATTATAGACTAGTAAACAGAAAGCTTAACAAAATATGTAAAAACTTATGCTTTCATAACATGTAAAATAATGCTGTTATAAATGAATTTTAAAGACTGGGGGTGTGGCTCAGTGGTAGATCATGTGACTCGAAAAGCCCTGAGTTCAAACTCCCAGTACTGGCCCACAAAAAAGAAACTAAAAATAAATTTCTGCAGGAGTTGTAGTACTAATGGCAAGACCATAAGAGTCAATGGGTTCCAGAACCCTGCTTTTGTCTGAACATGATCTCCAGTCTGTGTGTGTCTGTACTGGTCCTGGGGCTTGAACTCAGGGCCTGGGTTCAGTGCCTGAGCTTTTTGCTCAAGGCTAGTGCTCTACCACTTTAGCTACAGCTCCACTTATGGCTTTTTGGTGACTAACTGGAGATAGATGTCTCACAACTTTCCTACTCAGGCTGGCTTTGAACCACAATCCTCAAATCTCAGCCTGCTAAAGAGCTAGGTTTACAGGCATGAACCCTAGCCAATGCCCAGCCAACAACTGTTTTTTATACTTTGAATTAAGTCAGGCCAAACAAATGTTCATTTAAAAAAAAATGGAAAAGTGGCAACTACATCAATGATTCTTTCTTTTTTTTGTTTTTTTGCCAGTCACGGCGCCTGAACCTCAGCTCTTCAGCTCAAGGCTAGCGCTCTACCACTTGAGCCACAGCACCACTTCCAGCTTTTTCTGCTTATGTGGTGCTGAGGAATCGAACCCAGGACCTCATGCATGCAAGGCAAGCACTCTACCACTGAGCCACCTTCCCAGCCTCCATCAATGATTCTTGAACTGAAATAACTATGACCACAGAAAAACATTTGCTTACTATGAAGAGTTAATAGGCTCTACTAACTTGGTGGACTGAAAAAACTCAGAAAATCAGTCAAAAATAAAATTAAGATAACAAACCACGTAAGAACCTACTACACTATATGGGAACAACCTAATCCACAACAGTAGCATGTTAAAAAATAAGAAATAACAAGAAAGCGGAGAATTCAATAGGTCAAATTAAACTTTTATTAAGAGAATTTTGTGAAACCTCTTATAATACAGATAGACAGGTAACAAAAACACTACTACAAAGGAAAATATCACTTCACGTGTTTGGTTCACAACGTATTTAACTATTCTATGGAAAAGTTATATGATGTGGGATTAATATAAATGTTACCAAATCCTTTTTTTTTTTCATTAGGGCTAGAGATAGACGCCAGGGCCTTGCACAGGTAGACTCGCACTCTGCCACTGAGCCACATATCAAGAGCTCTAAGAAAATCTGGTAGACGACATAAGATTCTACTTTAAAGCAACAATGATTCTGATGTGAACAGGCACAAGAATTAGGCAGCCAATAAGAAAATTAGGGATGGGGCTGGGAAGGTAGCTCAGCGGTAGAGTGCATACCTTGCAAGCATGAGGTCCTGGGTTTGATTCCTCAGCACCACATAAACAGAAAAAGCCGGAACTGGCGCTGTGGCTCCAGTGGTAGAGCACTAGCCTTGAGCTGAAGAGCTGAGAGACAGCGCCCAGACCCAGAGTTCAGGCCCCATGACCGGAAAAAAAAAAAAAGAAAAAAGAAAAGAAAAAAAAAGAAAAGAAAATTAGGGATTAGGGCATGGTTTCCATGATAGAGCACCTGTCTATCAAGTATGAAACTCTGAGTTCAAACCTTGGAACCAAAAGAGATCCCTTTTTGTTGTTGTTATTGTTGTCAGTCATGGGTCCTGAATTCAGGGCCTAAGACCTGTTCTTAAGCATTTTTGCTCAAGGCTAGTGTTGTACCACTTTGAGCCACAACTCTACTTACAGTTTTCTGGTGGTTAATTGAAGCTAAGAGTCTCTGAGACATTCCTGCCTAGGGTGGCTTTGAAATGCAATCA